TCATGGCAAAGATACTGGAGTGGGTTGCCATGAAAACCCCATGGACAGTACCAAAAGACAAAAAGATATGACGCCGGAAGATGAGCCCCTCAGGTCGGAAGGTGTCCAATATGCTACTGGGGAAGAGCAGAGGGCTAGTACTAGTAGCACCAGAAAGAATGAAGCGACTGGGTCAAAGCCGAAAGGACACTCAGTTGCTGATATATCTGGCTGCGAAAGGAGAGTCCGACGCTGCAAAGATCTATACTCCATAGGAACCTGGAATGTAAGATCCATGAATCAAGGCAAGCTGGATGTGGTCAAACAAGAGACGACAAGACTAAACATAGACATCCTAGGAATCAGCAAACTAAAATGGACAGGAATGGGTGAATTCAATTCATGGTGCCCTGGCAGCAGCCCCATCCCTGGCCATTGGCTGGAACTGATGGGAGTTGTTGTCAAAAATATCCAGAGGGCACCGGAATGGGCAAGGCTGAGTGACAGGGCTCTTGCACAGAATCCATATCCTGCCATTCTTCCTCTGGTGAGGAACTCAGCCTGGCTCACATGAGCTCCATCTTATCCTCACGACAACCCTGTGAGGTAGGCTGGACTGAGAGCCAGTGGCCAGCTCAAAGTTCCCCGGTGAGCCTCAGGACCAAGCAAGGGCCAGAACCCAGATCTCCCGGGTCCCCAGTCTAAGCACTCGCCACCACACTGGCTCTCAGGACTTCTCTTGCCAGATAACCAATATTATGTGCAATTCCATCTGGGATGCGTGTCCATCTCCAGGAGTCCAACCCCAAGCTGCCCGAAGCTCTTTTTCCTGCGGGACCTTGGCCTAATTACTTACTTACTTATTTATTTTTCGATTTATATCCTGCCTTTTTCCTACAAAGGGCTCAAGGCAGCTTACATCATTCTCCTCCTCCATCTTATCCCCACAACAACCACCCTGTGAGGTAGGTTGGGCTGAGAGTCTGTGCCTGGCCCAGAGTCATCCAGCTGGCTCCATGGCTGAGCGGGGACTCGAACCCGGATCGCCTGAGTCCCAGTCCCGTGCTCTGAACCACTGCGCCACACTGGTAAGCCAGTCACTGCTGTATCCTTAAGGATACAATGCTATGGAGACGTGCTGCAGACTTGGAGGATCACAATCACCCTGTGGCGAATAAGAGAAGCACAAAGGTGAAGGTGGCTTCCGCGCTCCTCACACCCTGCGGTTCTGACTGTAGCACCTCAGAGGAACGGTGATGGAGGCTGAGATGCTGTCAAGATAGACTGGAGCTGGGAGGTGTCCACCTCTTCCTCTCCTTGCCAGTGGTGTACCCCCCAAACCTCCAGGGTCAGCCCAGGACCTCGGAAAAACCAATGCTGTCGCACCCACACCAGCTGCAAGGTGGGAAGGGGGAGCTGAGCACACCTCCCCAGTTCTGGGTTGGAGAGATTTCTCAGCCTTGGACCTAGGAACCTGAACCATCTGACAGTGACCTAGAACCTCTCAAGCGGTCCCAGGATCGCTCTGTTAATGACTTGGTGATAGCTGCACATATAAAGCTACCTTGCATTTTCAGTTCCTCTCACCCAGAACTGACTACTTTGGTTCTTCACACATGCGTGTGTAAGGGGAGTTTCACCTGTGAATGGACCATCACTCATCTGACATTCCAGGAAAAGCTCTTGTATTGCGTTCACGGAGTGGTGTGTGTGTGTGTGGGTGCGACCAGTGTTGAAAAGGGCCCTGTAGGGTTTTTGTATTGCCAGAAATCCCACCAGACTGGGGGTGGACCCCCAAAGAACCAGCTTCGCACCTCCAACTCATCACTGATGCTATCATCCACGGATGACACATATCTGAGTGCCTCTTTGCTGCCCATTGGCACAGAATGCCTTTTCTCCACCTGAGCAGGTCCGGGGATCCGTGCGTTCGCATTCCGATAGGACTGGCAACAATTCCAGTCACTGGGATAGCAGGCCTCGCCGCCACGGTTTTATCTGTGGGATGGCACATGGGATGCATCCGTGAACGCTCAGGGCTTTCTGCACAGAGAAGCAGATGCAGATGGCAATAAAGAAGTCAAAGCCCATCTCTTCTCTGCATGGGCCCCTTGCCCTGCTGCTTGCTGGCTGGAGCACAGCAGGCTAAAAAAATCCAGGGCTTTGAAGGTAGGCGTTCTTGATTTGCCCGTCTCCAGTCTGCCCAGCCCCTTCCTCCTCCCTCTTCTCTGTAACCTCGTCTGCATCTGCATCGGAATTCGGTCCCCTGTGTCTGTTGGCTGGTCTGCCTCTGTCCATCTAGCTAGGAGACTCAGGTTTCTCTGGAGGTGGAGGGGACTGGTTGAGGAGTGCAGATTTTGGAAGCTAAGGCCGGGAGAACTGGAACCAGGAGCAAGACGTGCAAACACCCCTTTCTGCAAACTTTGGAAACTGAGAAGAATTAAACGTGGCAACTATGGGTAGATTCTCAAGCCTTGGATTGCTCTTCCTCTTCCAACTTTTGGCCACCTCCTCAGCTCAGGTAAGAATTATTCCTTCTTTGCATTTCAGAAAGCAAAGTTTTATGAATACAGCACTGGAGACATTGAATGGGTTGCTTCGGCTTCATCCAGGACTAAGATTTGCACCACACACACACACAGAGAGAGAGAGAGAGAGAGAGAGAGAGAGAGAGAGAGCGAGCGAGCGAGCGAGCGAGCGAGCGCATTGCTCTTAATTTTTGTACATAGGTATGTGAAACAACAATCCCACGCACAATTGTTCAGAAGCTTATTTTTGGTCAACATGGAAAGTCTTGAGCTGTAAGAGTGGAGACTTCATTAAGTTGTGATGAAGCTGCATTATTCATCTTCTTGTACACTTAATGAAATTAATTAAAGAACAGGTGTGGTCCTGTTCTTCCAAGATACACATACGGGGTGGTCGTTGAATGTATTTAGTGATCATGGCTATGGAGTTAGGCTGCAGTTGTGCTGGGTTTTAATCTATGTTCTTTTTTATTTTTGCACTGATACTGGATGGGAGGTTTTTAAATTATAGGCCATGTTCTAAACTAGCTGTGTTAAACTTGCCACTTTTGCTATTTTTCTTCACTAGCAATACGGAGGAACACTGGAAGGAAAAATGGCTTGAAAGGAACCCTTTTAACATACAAGTTCTAAGTTTCACACCGAACAAAAACTCCAGTGTGCTCTCTTTCAGACTTGCTGGCAGTGTATGTCTTTCCTCACTCCTCCTTTCTCATTAACCCGTCTGCTTTGAACTCCCATGTAAGGGGAATACAGTATTCTATCAAGTCAGTCCTCCAGTTAAAAGTCTTGTTCCTAAAGAGCACCCTGCAAGGGTTATTCATAGCTGACAAACTGAGAAATTAATAAAGATCCTTATATAGATTATAGGTTTTTTTTTTTCCTGAAGTCAGGTTCAGGAATCTGGAGTCGCCCCACCTTAGCTGTGAACAAACCTTGCTATACAAAGAAAGCTCTGTTGAGCTGAGCTTGCTTGCAAGTTATTCTCTGGGGCTTTTCCCCCTCACATAGAAAGACATTTATAGCATTTTCCCTCCCCTTAAAGCCGAAAATCAAACACTGCTCACATTCAACATTTTCATCCATGTAGAATTCAACACAACTCAAGGGAAATTAATGACAGGCTTCTCTCCATTCTGGCTTTTTTAAACAATGAGACAATTAGTGTGTTACTTTAACTTTAGGTGTACTTCCCCCGGCCCATTATTGGAAGGGTTTCTAATCAGAATGAGAATGAGAAAGGCTTCTAATCAGAGTGTAAATCTCAACAAAGTTCAGTTTAAAACGTGCAATTAGGGAAAAGTAGGTTGGATTTATGTGTGCATTCCTTCCACATTGCAAGCTCGGTTTTATTCTCCAAAGCGAGGAAGCCCCGGTCATGAGTTGTCACGGGGTAAGCACTGCTTCTCAACGTGGGCCATACCATATTTCTAGGGGGGCACAATGCAGATGGCAAAGTGCCTTTTTTCCAGGTACCCGCGACTATGAAGAGGGTCACAGAGGTAAATGAGGCTCAGGAGGGGGGACATGAGCAAAAAAGGTTGGGAACCCCTGGTGCAGGGGAAGAAGGGAAAATTATCTGAAGCCCCTTGAAGCTGTTGGATGTGTGGATAGATGTGTTCAAGTGAGAGATGGAAACCCAAGTAAGTTTTATTATGATTTATTGTGATTTATATCCTGCCTTTTTCCTACAAAGGGCTCAAGGCAGCGTACATATCTCTCCTCCTCCATCTTATCCCCACAACAACAACCCTGTGAGGTAGGTTGGGCTGAGAGCCTGTGACTGGCCCAGAGTCACCCAGTTGGCTCCATGGCTGAGCAGGGACTAGAACCTGGACCGTCTGAGTCCCAGCCCCAGGCTCTTAACCACTACACCACACTGGCTCTCACACCACACTGGCTCTCAAGTAAGTTTTGTGAAGGCTTATGGGGGGTGGTGTGCTGGGCTGACCTGGGGACCGATTCTTGACTGGCTGCAAAACTTATTGGGTGCTCCTGGGTAAATCCCTGGGTCTCTCAGCCTGATGTGGCTATACGGCATAGGTGCTCAAACTACGGCCCGCGGGCTGGATCCAGCCCGCCATGCCCATTGATCCGGCCCGCATGCGCACATGGCGAGGTGCCGGCTTGCTTGCTTTTGGACTTGCTCGGAGAAAAGGATCTCCTTGTGAGCAAGCTGGCGCCTTGCCAGGAGATCCTTTTCTCCGGGCGAGGGGGAGATCGTTTTGGACTTGCTCAGAGAAAAGGATCTCTGCGCATGCATGCCTCTGCCTTTCTGTGCGTGCGCGCATGGGCACCCCCCCGACCCGTGCCCCCGTCCCACACCGCCTTGGTGGCCCGCACCCATCCCTGGCACCTTTCAACTGGCCCCCTATTCAAAAAGTTTGAGGACCCCTGCTATATGGGTTCTGGTTAGGCTAAAATAGGATAACCTAAAATAGGATAAAATAGGATATACATTTTATATATTTATATGTGTGAATTATTGATTGTTTATTTTCTATGTTGGAAGCCGTCCCGAGGCTTATGCGACTGGGACGGCATATAAAAACGCCAAATAAAAAAATAAGAATAATAAAAAAATAACCCTGAACTTGGAGGAAATGCAAAATACAAGTGGAGAACCTTCTCACCGGTTGGGCAGCATGTGGAGTGGATTTTCTCATTTCTGAGAAAAAGATGGGAGGCTGGCACCAAGGGAAAGGCCGGGATTAATGCGGGGAGGGCAGCTTGCTTTACAGCATCAGGTCTGCTTCGAAAATGAGTCTCCTTGGCTTGCCAGATGAAGGTTAATCACTAAGAACGGCCTTCCCCAGATGTGTCCTCCAGATGTTTGGGACTTCAATGCCCATCAGTCCAAGGAACGACGGGAATTATAGTCCAGTACATCTGGCGGTCAACAGTTTGGGGAAGGCTGCTCTGGAAAAAGAATAAAAAGGAGTGCAGATCCATGTTCTTGAAAGCTGTTGGTTGGACATTCCTTGGGATCTGAGCACTTTGATTGTGGATCCGAAGCCCCCTTTGTGCCTGTCCCAAACACTGAACAGGAAGCCTTTCCTTGGCCCTGCCATTTCTCACCCATTTCCGTGTTTCATCGGATGCCTGACCTCGCTCTTCTCTCTCACTTCTCAGAGGCAAGGCCCACGAGGCCCCCCTGGACCACGAGGACCTCCAGGAAAAGCTGGCAAGGATGGCATAGATGTAAGTACTGGGCAGCCCAGGATTGGACCAAGCGAGAGGGAGAAATGGGGTGGAGCGTTGGCTGCCCAATCCGATAGGCGGATGAGGACTATGGATGCCTGTAGGCAGACAGACAGACCAGCCTCCCGCCTGGCATGAAGACTGATGAGCGATTGTGCAGAACTCGGTTCGTTCATTTCTTCCTTTCTGAGCGAATTGGAAGCCATTTCTCTTCCAGCATGGAACATCTCGTGTGTTTCAGACAGACCTTCTGATCAGGATGTCTTCCCTGAAAGAAAAATGGCCCAGCTTCTCTGATAGTTGCCCGCTTTTGCTGAGCAAAAGCAAGTATGGACATAAAATATTCTTTAGAAATCAAACCTGAGAATTCACTACTAGAGTAAATTTTCAGGTGAGCAAATTGCTACATTTTGACGAAGTCAACTGTGGATTAGCTGAACATCAGGAAATGTGGCATGTCTTGATTTTCAAAGCACAGTTTATTTTCCTTCTATTTTTTATGATTTCATAGCCCATTTTTCCTAAATAATTATAACAAAATAAAATTCAAAATCAGGAAAATAATATTTAAAATACCAGCCATTCCCATCCTGGTGTCTTCTAGGCAGTCTGAGCTACATGTACCAGCATTCCTGACTTTTGTTTGTATTGGATGGGGTTGATGGGAGTTGAAGTCCCAAATATTTGAAGTACACCTTTTCGGGGAAGGCTGGTTTATATGATGCAGAATGGTTCAAATGAATTTTTTGCCCCAATATAAAGGTCTCTTTTAGTAGCTAGTTATTAACTACACACCACACTAATTCTGCCTCAGCACCTGGATGGAGCTTCTGATCCTGTGTTTAAAGTACCCTGCAGTGGGTGAGAATTGTGTTACAAAGTGCTGATTCAGGCAAGCAATTCCAAATGTGTTGATGGAGGAAAGGCACCCTCACATTATTTCAAGTTTTTTGTGCGGCTCACAAAGCTGCCAGCGGTGGGCATTAGGAGAAATAAAACTGCAGTTCAGTTTACTGTTTATAACCTTAGGTCACTGTGATATAACAGAAAGAAACTAATCAAAATATTACTGAAAATAACCATGGAGATTTTTTTTAAAATCAGAAAATATCGAAGAAGTCAGATCAAACAAAAACAAATCATTAAAAAACCCATGAGACAATTTTCCAACTTTCAAAGCAGTTTCTCTTAACCAAACCAAAAATAAAACACACAAGGTGAATATTAAAAGCATGAGTCATCAGTTTTATCCAGTGCAACAAATTTTATCTGAATGTATCTGTATTTGAATGAAATCTGGGGTGGAGTTTAGCCGAATCTTATTGGAAAGTGGTGGTGCTTGCCAAGATCTCTCTGTATTTATTTATTTATTTATTTATTTAGGAGACTTCTATGCCCTGGGGCTTCTCTACATGAGGCATTTAACTCGGTGCATTTCTGAGGTTGCTGCTGCCACTTTCTTTGCAGGAGTGTTGGAGCTTCCGTCACATGAGGCTTTTTCCTGCAGGTTTCCCTTTCTGCCTTTCTCCATGTCCTCGTGTGTTTTGTGACACAGCACAATGTGCTGATGTGGCATACAGCAGATATGCAACATTATGCTAGACTTTGAGAGCAAATAATGGAAGCATCCAAGCAAACATTTAACTATATCCCAGCTCCAAGAGAAGCTGTGAAAAGGGCTGGAAAACCCAGCTTGTAAGATGAATCCACAGACTTCCGTGAGTGAAAGTTCGTGAGCGGCTTTCAACAAAACGCTTTGGTGTAAAGCACGAAGGCTTTATCTTCTAGCAAATGGATCAGCTTGTTCTGAGTTTTAGCAAGCCGATGGGATATTTTCCCTAGTGAAATCAGAGAACGATTAAACAATAACAAGGAAGATCCTCAGCTGCAACTGAGCCGTGGTAATGAAAATGCAAGTAATTGAAATGACTTCCGATGAAAGTGAAAGGAGAAAGTTCAAAAGCAGGACTAGAGCTGAACATTAAGGAAAGAACAGTCATGAATCCAGAAGAATCACAGAACTTTACGGTCAACACTGAAGAAATTGAAAGTGTGAAAGATTTTTCATACGATTTTATACAAAGGCTCAGTCACTGATTTAACAGAGACAGCGACCAAGAAATTCAAAGAAGGCTGAGACTTGGGGAGGGGAGAAGTGAAGGAACTTGAAAAGATAATCAAGGGTAAGGATGTTTCACTGGCAACCAAGGCCAGGATCATCCATGCTCTTGGATTTCCAAATACTGTCTATGAGTGTGAAAGCTGGACAGTGAAGAAAGACGACAGGAAGAAAATGGATGTGCTTGAAACATGGTGCTGGGGAGAGCTTTGTGAATACCCTGGACCCACAGAGAGACAAACAAGGGGGTCCTGGGTCAAATCAAGCCAGAGCTTTCCCTAGAAGCAAAAATGGCAAAACTGGGGTGAGAAGGCAAGACTCTCTGGAGAAGACAATTTTGCTAGGGAAAGTTGAAGGGTGAAGAAGAAAAAGAAGATCAAATTAGAGATGGATTGAGTCCATAAAGGAAGCCACTCTCTTGAATTTAGGACAGGGGTGTCATGGATAAGAAATTTTGGAGGGCTTTTCCTCATAGGATCACTATAAGTCGGAGGTGACCCAACGGCACATAAGTACAACAATAATGTGTCATCCAGAGACTGAGCTTCTTTTCTTTTAAATAAACAGTCCTCTGGGCCTGGAATGTATTCAAATAGTGTATACCAGAGAGACTTCTTTAGTCTTAAGAAATGCAAAAGCTTCCCACAAAAACACTTCCTTGGAGTATAATTTCTTCTTTTAGCTACGGCAAGATTTCTCTGGAGGAAATCAGGCACTAGACAGCCAGATCTCAGTAGTAAACACAACTTATTCTGATGCCAGTCATTTCTCTTGATGAGCTCAAGCCCAGCTGATCCAACAATAGTCCGGCATTTCCTTATATTTCAACCAAGCATTAAAAGCCATGGGCCAGGTGGCAACGAAGATCAGGGTCTGTTTGTTTGTTTTTACTTCCTGTCCAGAGATGAGAAACCATCAAGGACGGGAGCACACCAGCTACCATCTGTGTTTATTACATTTGTACGCCTCCCGTTTTCTTGCAAGGAATTCAAGGTCGCTTACCAAATCCTCCTCCTCTCCATCTTGTCCTCACTTCAAGAACCCCATGAGACAGATTAGGTAGAATTAGCCCAAAGTCACCCAATGAGCAATGTGGTCAAGAAGGGGACCAGATCTTCCAAGTCCCAGTCCCAGCGCGAACCACCACACCACACGGGCTCTCAAGACCTCTTCTCTTCCATGTATTTGTTCCATCTGCCTTCAAAGCTTTCCAGCTTGGTGGACCAAGTGAACTCATAATATCCCTTAATTCAGAATTAACACTGACGTTCTTATGTGTGGGACTGATCTTTGGAAGCGGGGCAGGGGACATATCCTTGCGTTCAGAAATCCATAGAACTCCTAACCTTCAGAACCAGTGCTGTTTTTTTCCTGTGCAACATTTCAGAGTTCGGCCCATGGTGGAGTCTTTCCATTGGAGTGTGATTATAATTGCTTGGATGCAGGGATGGCTGTTATTAATTCTGCTGTCTTTTATTACATCTTTAGGGAGAGCCTGGTCCCCCTGGCTTGCCTGGTCCCACAGTAAGTATTTCCCACGATCCATTTTGTTCATGGGGGGCAGGTCCAAGGAGCACACTGTTATGGGGCTTAAAGGGGGTGGGAGGAGAAGAAACAGCAAAGCTCTGACAAATCATAGAGGAATGTCCCACGGATCTTGGAGGAGCAGCGGTGTTTCTCTTTCTGCATGTGCTACACAAGGAAGGATGAAGCCCGTAGAGGACAATGGAAGTGTCTGGCTGGAAGGACAAGTGTTTAGCGAGTGGGAGGGACATGGGCAGCAATGCCGGCACCCCCATGTTACGTTCTGCTGGGGATGGGGATGGGGGGGCAATGGTGGCAGATGGCAGAGAGGAGAATCCCTTTTCCAGAAGAAATCTCTTAGGCTGCTCAGTGGTCAAAACAGAAGGTCCGTAGGCAGATGCAGAAGACCAGGAGCTATCCTGCATGTCCAGTGAGGGAAAGCAGGATCCATGCCCCCCTGCAAGGTTTTTGCCTGTGATTCCCATCATCCCTCACCATTGGCAATGCTGGGTGGGGCTGATGGGCATTGTAGAGCAAATCCTCTGGAGGGCCTCAAGTTGTCCATTCATGTGGATGTCAAAAGGCTAGTTGGGGCTTACAGGTGAGTTCCAGGTCAGGTGGTTACAGGCATCACATGGCAAGCACTGAAGCAGTGATAGCTCCGGGTTTTGGGGGTGCCCTTGGGCAGCACAGCCCCATGGGCTGCCCACACACAGCCTATTTCCTTATGGCCACCACTCCTTTCCACCACTGCCGTCTGCTCTGCTTTGCTCTGTTCTGCTCATGCCCTCTGGGCCCCGGCAAGAGGTGGATACATCAGCAGATTCTAGGTGCAATTTAGGAACAAACAAATACATGGACATCCAGGCTGCCTTTGTTGAAATCTATGCAGAATTACCCCTAATAATAATAATAGCATATTTTGCAATACATAAAATATGTAGCAGTAGGTAAAATACATGGGGACATATGGAACATATGTAACCAATTTAATAGATGTACTCGTATTTCATGAAAGAAAATTGTAATACGAAATTTTATTCTATTTCTTTGTTTCTCATTGTTGGTTTTGGTGTTCCACTTTCACAATAAAATACGGATTAAAAAACAAGCCAGTTGGAGTGGTGAAAAGGGGCAGAGCGCAGGGACTCTTTTGTGTGGGTCCCTGATGACGCATAAGCCTCAGAGGAGACCGGCTCTGTCAAGTGATTTCCACAAATCCCAGTGATTTGTCGCAGATCGGCATGGGTTCCTAACCCCCAGTGCTTTAACAACAGCGACAGTAAACAACCGTTTTTCCTCCTCGGTTAGGCAGCTCAGATCAAGAACACGGGAGGGAAACTGGAGTTCTCATCTTGGAAGCAAATTCCTGGGCTCAGCCACAATTTGTTCCCCAACTCCCTGATGGCCAAGTTGAGACGATGCTTTGCGCTTGGCCCCCATTTTCGGATCTTGGAAAGCTGGTGCACTAAATGTTAATGCTATCCTGGCACAAGAAAGCCACATATTTAGGACCTGTTGGTGGCAAATACCCTGTGCTTGGCAGTCCAGTTGAGCTTAAGCGTGGCCCTCAAAGGCTGTGAGAGAGTCGCGGATCGGCCCCACTGGCTGGAGCCAAGCCGTCGCTTACTTGTGAGCTTTACATGTGGTGAGTGCTAAATCCACTGTGTGTTGCCACTTTGGGTGTGTTTATATTAAGTCATACCTTGCCGGATGCTACCTTACAATTCCTGCCTTAAGAAAGCCTGTCAGACCATTGTGTTACTTTGCTGAAATTGCTACACTAATCACATCTATTGATCTGGTTTAGGGGCCCAAAGGAGCACCAGGGAAGCCTGGGAAAACTGGGAATGCAGGATTGCCCGGACTTCCAGGAGTAGATGTAAGTATGAGCTCCCCATGTTTTCACCCACACAAACACATTTGGTTTGTTGTTTTGTTGGCATATTAGGGCTCTATTCCAGTGCTGAAATTATTATTACGGGAAGAAAGGTAGAGGATTCATAATGGAAACCTCAAATATGCCTGGCTTTTAGTAAAATCATGCCTTCCTTTATCTTCTAAAAACATTAGATAAGAGGTAACAGCCTTGGTCCCTTTCTTCCCGTAGTCTGAGCATTACTGCAATTCCTGAGTCATGTTCAGTTTTTTTCCATGCCTTCACTCTGTCGTTGGAGTAACCGTCCTGCTGCATATTAAAAGCAAACTCCTTTTGCAAATATGGATTGTTATGTAGCCAAATTTGCATCCACCATGCAGGAAGGGGGACATTTCAGCTGTTCTGGAAACCCCAAGGGTTCCAGAAGGAAAATAAAAATATTAGTTTAAAGGGGGAGTGAGATCCCCCCCCCCCAAAAAAAAACCTGTCCGGGTTGCAAAGAGAGTATTCAATGGGCATAACCAGAAGCTGAAGGCAGGCAGGGGAGGAAGGTGTGAGGGGAGGTGAAGGGGGTGGAATGGTGAGTACTGGGAGAGGGTATTGTTGGATGACCAGAAGGGGATAGTACTCCATAGTGCAAGATTTTGTCTCAGGTCCACTTATTGCCTAGAGCAGTCACGGAAAACTTGGTGCCATGTAGTTGATTTGGACAACAACTCCCACAAGTCCTGACCACTAGTCATGCTGACTGGAGCTTTTAGGAGTGGTAGTCCTGACACCTGTAGGGTCCAGGTTGCCTTTCTTGGCCTAGATTGTGCATTTGAGGTTGGTTCGGTGGGTCTTTTTTCTGGCCTAGAACCTAAATAAATGTGGCCAAGTTCTGCTCAAAACTCATTTTGTGAGCTTCAGTTCATCTGCTCGAAATTACCTGAATTGTATTGACATAGCTTTCCCTTGAAAGTGAGTAACCCCAAAAGACTAGTACAAATATGGAAATAAATACGTAGGAACACAAAAAACTGAGCTAGAGAAGGTGCCAACACTGGGCTGTGGACTGCTAAGCACAGAGATCTAGCAGAAGCTGGGATGCGGGTAGGACTGGGGCCAGAGCCGTGGGACAAATCCAGAGCATTCTGACTGACAGTTGGAGGAAGAAAGCAGGTAGGAAGAAGGCAGAAGTGTAGGAGGACTGGAAGAGAGACCAGCCTTGGGGGGAACATGGAGAAGGTTACACCTGATGTAGGTGGGACTTAACTCACATCCATTTCAATGGGTCTGCTACTCAGAGTAGAACCAACATGGGCTGCAGCCTGAAGTAGTAAGTAGAACAAGGTTATGGAACCATGCAAGGGAAGTCCAAGTCCAGCTGCTGCTGAGGAATACCCTGGGAATATTTATAGCCGGGTCAGTCCAGGAGAAACCAATGACCCATCTCAAGATTGGCTGGGTTGGAGAGTATCTGGGTTCTGGGGAGGCCAAGCTAAGCTCCTTTCCCCTTCTCTCCTGCAGCCTGGAGAGTTTTACAAGAGAATGCATGGCCACAGGGTCTGTGCATTTCCAGGTTGGAATCCTGGACAGTCCTGACAGAGGGTCGCTTCTTTACCCATCAGCCACCTAAAATCCTTGGGCTCCCCTTGAAACAGTGTTTGTAGTTCTGCATTACCCAACTTGGAGGTTTCCTGATGTGTTGAACAGGAGAGCATCAGATAGAGACAGTCTGTCCTGGGTCATAATTCTTAAATCCATATTTTTGTTCCTAATCCAATTCTCTCTGCTACCCTGCCTTTTTACAGGGTTTGACAGGATCTGATGGTCCCCCCGGGCCAAATGGACCACCAGGAGACAGAGTGAGTACCAGAACTTTAAAACCTACAAGGCGGTTTGAGTCAAAGTGAGCAGATCCCTCCCCTCACTTTCCTTTTGCAGCAAACCTGGTCAAAACTTCAGAAGTACAGTTCTTGGTTAGAGAGTAACAGGTTACGAACGGCATGAATCTAAGTGGCAGCATCTCTGAGCTGGGGGAGAAACATCTGCCCATGGGAAGAGCTGAATCCGCACTGCAAATCCTGTCCCTCCCTCACTTTCAACAAAGCTTCTGACTTCTCCCTGCTTCTGGCGTCAGCTGCTTACACTTCTTAACTGGTCTGTTCATTTTGCCTCTCGTCTGCTGATAGGGTCAAGGAACTCCCCCTATCTTTGACATTCTGAAATGTCCCCCTGCTTTTCCAGGGTGGGCTTGTTCTCAGTCTCTGCCTAGGAATCTTCCCTGGGCGACCTTGAAACGGCAAAGCCCCCTGCCCCGCTCTGTCCCTCCTCTTCATTCTCCGATCCGCCTGCGGAGGCCGCCCCTTGCGGGAGGTGGCCACTCCTTGCACAAAGCACCACTGGCAACAGGCCCCTGAACTGAAGCAGAATCAAAACAGTGCTCTTCAAATTACTGCACAAAAGGTCACCTCATATTCATGGTGCTGCAGGTGCTCCGGCCCTGGAGAGCTTGCAGCCAGGGCTGCGAGGAACCTGGTCGGAATCTGTCCCTCCCAGCCTTCCTGGGCTGCCTCTTGGGCTTGGCCCAGTCCTCCAAGGCGAGTTGAGGCAAGCGCCACGCTTGTGTGCTCCTGGTGGTGCAGTGCAGCCTTCTGTGGTGGCGGGCAGTGCAGGAGCAGAGAGGTCACCTGGGGCTGCCTCCCCAGCAGTCCCCTCCCGGCCACCCTTCTTCGGTGGCTGCACCTGGCACAGGAGAGAGATGCTGCTTGCACAGCGCGTGGGCTCGATCCATGGTGAACTCCCTGTGCACGTTGGGTGCAGCCACCAGGAGCTTAGACTCCGGGTCTCTGCAATGCAGACTGGAGGCCGGGGAGCTGAGCCCAAGGAATGCGGTGGATTCCCCTGGGCAGAGACATTCCTCACACATCCTCACATGCTCCAGTTTTGGCCCAGGCCACTCTTTGATGATAAAACTTGCTTGGAGTGGCATGTGTCTCTGGCCTGCAGGTGGTGGCTCGCATGGTTCCCAGGACAAAAGCAAAAAAAGGTGTTTTTATTAGTATGGTATAACATTCAATCATGTCTGTCCCCCTGCCAAATGGTACAGTCCAGCCAGAGCTTTACCACCCCGAGGAGTATTAGGCCTGCTAACTCATCTTCCTCCAAAGGAGTCCAGCATGAGCTATTAGCTTGTCTCCTCTTTATACGTCTTGAAAAGAAAGCTGCCCTCAAGATTTCCCACTAAATGTCAGGACTGAACATAGATCTGAATCCAGATCTCTCCTCCTGAAGTCTAGCACTTCCCCGGCCTATTTGCTTAATGAGAAGTTATATCTTTCCAATGTAAAATAAATAAGCAAAAACGTTGTGCAATTGTTTTTCAGTGAAAGCATAAAGATTGTAGGTCCAAGGAGCTGAAGGACAATGTAGCCCTGGGGTTTCTCTGCATGGGGCATCCATTGTGCATTTTTAATTCTTCTCTCACAGTAGTTTGTGGGTGTTTATGCAATGTTGCCACCCTCCAGGGACAGTCCTGTTCTTCACAACCATCTTCGTGCCTTTTTCTAATCAAAGAAACATGGTATTACTCAGAAAGGTTGGAATCGGCTTGCGTGCGACTGTCACGCATTTGTGCTCCTGTGTTAACCTGCAGTGCCATCTTGGGGTTGTGCAATGGAAAGAAAAAAATAGGTAGGAAGCAGTCTCAATTCTGCAAAGAATCAGGAAACAGACATCTTAGTAAAGTGGCAGGTTAAATACCTTATGTAGATTCAGCCCTCAGTGATGTCCAGTGACTTTTATGGTTCCATCAGCTTTTGCTAATGGAGCGTTTTCATAGCAGGAAAAACCTGAACATTAATTTACCTTCTGCATATTGAGGGATCTCACCCAAAGAATTCTGAGTATTCCATCACTAATTTCCTGTGAGACTGGGCATTGGAGAATGTTTCTGTCCGTTCAGATTTTACAAAAAGGGGTGGTACAGCCCATTCCTTAGCTAGCGAGTATTGCAAACAGTTTAAGATCATTGAAATGTAGACCAGGAAAAATAACCCAACCTTAAATAAATTAATTAATAGTTAAGCTGGCATTTGTCAACACGGTTGATTTTTATAGGATTACATCCTAATTTTAAAGGGAGGTAGGGGTGAGGTTAATTATGCTTCTGAGCTCTCCAACTCTGTCCATCTGATTAAGGGGTTTCTTTAACAGGAAACAAAAACATTCCCAATCTGGTTTGGTATGCAGAATGCCAGGGTGCCTTTCTTTTGATCTCCAGATGGAACTACCATTATTCAGACATTTCCCAGAACTAAGTCTTTCCCTGCTCTTCTAAACTCTTGATATAATTTCCCAAGATCCAAAAACACCCCAGCGAATATCTTCCAAAGCCATGCTGAAATATTTCTCATTTTTAACCCTGAAAGGCATCTTCTAGGCTCTTTGGAAGGGCTTCTGTTGCCCGCTTGATGAAAAATTCCCACAATGGAAGAGGTGTGAGCTCTTGGGGTTCTGTTTGGAGCCAAAGTGACTCATATATTTTGGAAGGCTTTCCAGGCTGTTCAGGATGGGGTTGCCAAGTCCCACCCCAAATGCTGCCCTCTCCAGCAAAATGTATGACTTTCGTGGGGGGGGGAGTGTGTCCTACAATGCCCCCACTTCTCCCCCCCCCCACCACCACACACCCCTTAATCCAGCCCTTCTTGCTCTGGCCAAGTTTGGACATAATGTTAAGCCAAGCTTCCAGAACCTGGTCCGCCATATTGGACTACGGTACCCATCATTCCTAGCTTGCTCTTCTCAGTCCCATGGTGGCTTATCATGTCATTCAAACACAGATTGGTTTAGTCAGGGTGACTTAAGTTAAGGGTTATAAGTCACCTCAACAAGCCATGGGTTTTTCTAGGAGTTGTCATACCCACAATAGGTTGCTGTGTTGTTTGAATCCAGACGACACAACCCATCATGGGTCAACCCCCGCGGTGCACCAGTGGCCCAGCAAGAGCAGCAAAAGCTCCGTCAGGCATTCCCAAGTTGCTGCCATGCAGCCGCCAATGGCAGCCAGCCCGAAGTGCCCAAGTGGATTATTGCAGCCTATGTTACGTGGAGCTGCCCTTGAAGACAGTCCGGATACTTCAGATGGGTCAGAATAGAGCTGCCAGGATGTTAATGGGGACTGGCAGGAATTCACATACAACGCCGGTCCTCTATTGCTGCTGCCAATTGAAGTCCAGGCCCAATTTAAGGTACTGGTCATGACCTATAAAGCCCTAAATGGCTTGGGTCCTGGATACCTGAAGGAGCGCCTCCTTCCCTATGCACCCTCCTGCCCCTTGAGATCTGAGGTGGAGGTCCTTCTTCGAGAGCCCTCCTTGAAGGAGATGAGAAGGGTGGCTACCCAGAGGAGGGCCTTCTCTGCGGTGGCGCCCCGATTGCGGAACACGCTCCCCAGAGAGGCTTGCCTGGTGCCAACACGTCTTTCCTTTCGGCACCAGGTGAAAACCTTTTTATTCTCCCAATATTTTAATTGTTAATTTGTTTTAATGTGTGGTTTTACACCTAACATTGGATGCTGTGCTGTTCTTTCTCTTACTTCTATTTTTATACTGTTTTATTACTGTTGCCGTGAACTGTCCCAAGACGACTGTGATGGGACGGTATAGAAGAGTTCTAAATAAATAAATAAAGTGGCACAAAGAGTGGCTGGCAGAACCTCCCCTTGCCCTGCAGCTGCTGTAGATCCTTGGGGGCTCCGTGTGGCTTTCCCCCCTGTACTTTTCCCCTCTGGCAATGGCAAAAGACAGCTGCCAAGGCTCCACCAGGGATCCGTGTTTTAGCTAAAGGCACAAGCAGGTCATCCAAGGGGTCACCTGTGAGCAGCCATGGGCTGTACGGCATTTACAAAAAGTCTTGCACAGACCCGTGCACAAAAACTTGATTTTAATTTTCATCTGCAATTGCACAAAGGTCCTCATTAAGCACAACTGTGGGGATTTCGAGCCGCGACTGGGGCACTGTCCGGAAAAGCCTCCACAGCCACCTGCCTCTTGACTGTTCTTTCTCTCTGCAAAGTCTCCTTTTCTCAAGGTGTGCTCACACAGCCAAAGGCATTGGATGTTGTTGCAAAGACTTCTGATTTAAGCTTCTGAGCTCCTTTCATAGATTTATTTGATGCATTCATTCCCTTGCTGCTGCTTCACGCCATTCAGGCAAGCTCAGACAGCTGTTAAGACACTGCCTCAGGGCAGACCTGGCTGTTATGTTGTTCAGTTCATTATTGGAGAGCAACATCACTGGCCATCTGCCAATGTCACCAACAGGAAACTCACTGCCACGTCCTGGATCCTCCTTGCTCTCCATCTCCTCCTCCTCCCCCCGGCCCCCATTGCTGCCCTGTCTCACCTACCCTCTGAAAGTGAACAGGCACCCAGAAAAGGAGGCAAACAAATCGTCGGGAGGTGATGAGGAGGTAGCGCCCATTCCTGGAGCAGGACCAGAGGAGAACGCTTTGCCAAGGGACCCGTCGGAATCTAGAACACTAAAGACATTGGCAAACAAATTTATATTCCAAAAGTCCTGCTCATTTAACACCTTTGTTAGGCCTACTGGAAGATTGCTTTTGAAATGTCCATTCCCTTCCTCCTCAAGCAAGACATTGCAAAAGGCAGGTCTGTATGGGGATGAGTGTATTGGAAAAACCAAAAATTGACTCGATCAATGGAACAGAAGAAAAATTCTCCCCTATTCCCACCCCTTCCCCTTCTTTCCACCTTGGCTACCGGAGAGATTTGGCCATTTTGACAGCTTGCACATTTTCGGCAATTGTTTAACTGGCCTTTTAAAAAGTCATTTACTCTAATATGGATCTGGGGAATTTTCTTAAGGTCATTGTGTTTACTTATTTTATAGTGCTTTACAGAAAACAAAAGGGCAGGAGCCCAACTGCAAAAGAGCAATTGCAAAAAGGATAAAAGGGCAGGACTCCCAATTCCTGCATCAAGCAGGGGGTTGGATCCAGGAGCTCCATGGCCCCTTCTGACTCTACTATTCCATGAATGTGGAGCTTACAGTTTCAGAAAAGACCACCCTGTATTTGCCAAAATAATAGGAAGACACTGAGGGCACAGGAGGAGGGGCAGCTAATTCTTCTGGGCCGTGTTGATTTTCACCTGCAAAGCCATCCTGGCCACCCTCCCTGCCCTATGGATTTGCATCAAGAGCTGGACACAGGATTTTCCAGTAGGGTGGGTGCCCCGAATTTCTGCCCCATCTCCCTGCTGCCTGCAGGCACATGCTGAAATAAAGGCACCGGAGTCCTGAGAACCTCTGTTGCCTCTGCTCCCCCAGGTTACCTGGCGTTTTGCTCCCCTTCCATATATCCCTTTTATCAAATAGGGGTGTCCTTAGAAGACAGAGCCCTTTCAAGGTCCATAGGCAGATGCTTTAGCGTGTTCAGTTAACAGATGTTCCTTGGTGCTTCCCCCGCTTTTCTGTCCTGGGTACCAGAGCCCAGGATCTTTCTGGCACTTTGCACTGTCAGAAAGTGTTTACACCCATCCCATAATCATCTCTCTCCTCCGCCAGATGTATTTGCAACTCTGGCTGGCTTGTTTCAACGGTTACGGCACTGATTTTGCCACACGAAGAGAACTTTGCTCAGTCCTCCTTTGGAGTAGGTCTGTTTTCTTCCTGTCTCCATGTTTAGCGCTTTCAACCTGTGATTCGTCTTACCATCTGTCTGCCCTGGCATCTGTTTTTTGAACACAACCAAGAAAGGCGCATTTCGGATTCCCTACCCCCTCCCTGCACTGCTAAAGCTTTTAATTAGGTAAAATTGAAAGGACCCCAACAGTTGTTCAAATTCAAAGTCCGATGCAAGAGCCTGAATGTGCTTTCCAAAGCAGAGTGCAGATTTGACAATTCGATCACGGCCCAGCCTGCCGCCAACCCTTGCAGCCACCTGAACAGACGGAACTGATAAAATTGACAGTTTGGAGTGCAGGACAACACCGCTTATTTATTTTTTTATTTTAGGTATTTAAAAAACCTGCTCCAGACCCAAAAGTCTCCTGACGCAGTTTAAATGCGCTTGTCAGCATCCACTTGCTGGTAAAAGTGGATAATTTTAAAATAATTTTGCTATGATTGTTTCAGGGATAGACCAAACTTCTGTGAAAATCTAATGCAGCACTAATTTTAATTTTATGTTTCCACCTGCAGGGAGCCATCGGACCTGCTGGGCCAGCTGGGCCAGCGGTGAGTGAATGTCCAGCTTTGTATACCGTCTTGCATGTGATGATTATTCTACAATGTCAACAGGACCCTTCATGCTCATGTTTCTGTAGTTCTACAAGACCACCAATCAGTGACAGAGCACATCTATTGCCTGGAAAAGGTTTCCAATTCAACCTCAGCATCTTTAGTTAAAAGGTTCAGGTTGCGGATCCAGGAAAGACTTCTTGTGACCCTGGAGATTCACTGCCAATCAGAATAGACTATACTAAATTAGACAAACCAATGCTCTAACTCAGTATATAAAAAGCTTGTTAACAGGTTAGTGATGCAGGACCAGCTCTGCATAGAAAAGGTCCCAAATTTAGTCTCTGGCATGTCCAGGTAGGTCTAGAAGAATCTTTGCCCATAACCACAGAGCTGCTGCCAGTCAGTGTTGGCAGTACTGGAATAGATGGGTCAGTGGCTTGACTCAGTCCATAAAGGGCAGCTTTTATGTCCCTACATGTTCATGAGTAGACAAGAGAGAGATGGACATCTTCCACTGGATCAGATTGAACTATTCTGGAATTGGCATCCAAGATCAATAAAATCTAACCAAGGTTGTGTGTGTTTGCCTGTTGTTGGTTACAGGCATGAGAGGGAAATGGACTCCTTGGGAATTGTTCTTTCTGTTGGTCTTAGCAGAGATTTGGGCTCATTCATAAAAGCTGGAAATATACAAAATAGCCCATTGTACAAGTCTTGTATTATTGTCATAGGAAGCAGTGAAGTTCACAAGGTTCTCTATATTCTCTGTAATATGCCTGATTCCCTTTCATTATGTGCTGTCAAGTAATCTCTGACTTCTGGTGACCCTACAAGTGAAAGCTCTCCAGAATGTCCTAAACATGATAAATGTGCTCAGTTCTTGTACATTCAAGGTTGTGGAGTCCATCCCTCTCATGTTTGGATCCTCTTAATGTATGTCAACTAGGATGCCCTTGCTTCAAATGATTTCAGAGGAACACGAGTATATATCCTTAACTGGCTGAAGCATTGGCTGTTCATGATTAATGATCACAGCTCATTCCCATCGTAATAAACCATGATTTATCATAATGGGAATGAGCTCAGGCAGACTCATCTCTCCTCCAGTGTAGCCAGGAGAAACAGCACAGAAGCTTTCATTTTCTTATTTGATTACCTGCAGTTTGTTCAAAGCTGTAGTTAATCCAAAGTATGATTTATTTGAAACAAGCCAACTTCAAACCATGGTTTATGAAGCTGGCTAGTTTGAACCTGGCTAGTTACACTCAACCTCTATCTAGGGTTGGAATGTGTTTGCTCGCTGTGTCTCACCAAAACCAGACGTTTCCAATCTCCTCCTCATCCTGGTGAAAGACAAGGGAAGATAGCACCTGAGCCTACAGCCTGGCTTGGCTCATTTCCAGCATGATAAACCTTGGTTTACTGTGATGTCCCAATATAGGCAAAGTGTATGATCTCTGCATAGTGCAGGTCCTTCCACAGACAGCTACTCCAGCTGTGCATTTAGCTGCAATCAGAGGACTATATCAGTCCTTTTGCAGGGAAAACTATTGGCTGCCACGGTGTGCTCTCCACCAAACTGCTGATCTTGCTGATCGGCAAAATGCTGAGACTGGGGGTGGGGGGAGATTTGCTAAAAAGGATTATATAAAAACCATGTGCTTGAATGAAAGGGAGGGAAATGTGGAGGGGGCTGATTTTCAAGTGGTAATCTGTTTTAAAGAACTGTTCATTTTTTTAAAAAATCAAATGTTATTTTGATCTAATTTGCAGGGCAAAGGACGTCCAGGACCTCCAGTAAGTAAGAGTGGCTATTTAAGAAGGACAGCTAGTGGCAACATTGTTCTGGAAATAATTCTTCATACATTTTGTTAATACTGGATCTGTTCACATACAGATTACCCAGTTCACAGCTTCCAGGCCAAGCACGGACTCAGAAGCAATCTGCAGTCAAAGTCCACACATTTCCAAGCTTCCGGTGTTACCAAACCAAATAGGATTCAGGAGCATGTGCATGGTTGAAAAATGCACAAGAAAAAGCACATATTTTTGAAAAGCATTGATATGCTTTAAGCCATGGGGAAGAATGCACGTGTTTCAAAGAGGCACGCTGTTGATGTGCACATTGAAATGATGCATGAAAATAGGCAAGGATTTTCTTGCAAAAATTAAACAGCAAAGCTTTAATTCTGGTATGGATTCAAGTCATAATGAGCCTCAGGATTGGATTTGGAGAACTTTGGACAGCTCAAGCTCCATTGATTTGCACATCCCTAACAAAACCTGGAAGCAATTATATTGTTATCTTTGTTCTCAGTCTGAGATGACACACAGACCTCTTCTCACCTTTTCCAGTTTATTTACTGAACATGAGGAGAAGGAAGCAGAATTGCATCCTTTGCTTTTCCTCCTGACCTTCTGACATGCAGTGGAAAGCTGAGAACCCCCCATGCACAGACAATTCTCTGCACAATCCAGACCCAAGGTTCCATGCCAGACACAATTAAGAAAGAGACTGAAAACAAAATTGCTAATCTCGTACTGTCCTTATACAAATCTGTGGGCAAGTTCTGCCACCTTGCATTACTGAATGAAGAAGCATCTAGGAATTTGAATGGACACTAACGTGCAATGTATTCTCTCTCTTTTACAGGGACCTCCAGGCCCCAGTGGGCTCCCAGGTGGAAATGGGCTCCGAGGACCACCTGTGAGTTTCCCTTCCTTCTGATCTGCTCTGTGCCCCAAGGGATAAATCACTCATCTAGTCCCACTACATTACAGCGGTACCTTGGCTCACAAACGCTTCAGTTCACAACCAAATCAGGTTGTGAACAGAAATGTCACAAAAAAATTGCCACAGGTCACGAACTCTGCATTGGGTGACGATCTGGAGTGCACCCACCTTCCCTGCACGGGCATGATCGCGGTTGTGCTGGGGAGGGGGGGAGATGGCCGTGACTGTACCCGTGTTCCCTGCCTGAACGCGCCCGCGCCCGCCTCCCCCCAGCATGCCCACAATTGCACCCGTCTCCCCCCACCCCACCCCCCGCACAATTGCTGGGGCGGGGGAGATGGCCATGATCTTTGTTGTTCTTTGTCACTTTGCTTCACATTTTCGTGAGTAAAAAAAATAGTTGCAGAATGGATTAACCTTATTTACATTGACCCTTATGGGGGAATTTGACTTGGCTCACGACCATTTTGGGTCCCGACCGGAGTCCTGGAACGGATTAAGTTCATGAGCCAAGGTACCACTGTATTTCGGAAAGAGATAGTGGTGCTGGCACTACTGTAGGTTCTGAGCAGCAGATGGTGCTGTTTCCTCTTCAATAAGTCCTGTTTGCATAACTGAGGCCAGATGTTAGTTCAAACCAGGCTGCTGTGAACTTCTTGATGTGTCTCTTTTTGGAGCATCTGAAAAATGAGCAAGGGTGTTGCCATTGGAATAGCCCAAGGCAATATCCAGTTTGGTCCATCTGCCAATGGAACAGCATCTCCCTACGGAGTACATTGTCCCTCCCCAGCTTGCTTGAAAGACCACTGTGATGAACCAGGATGGCTCTGGATACTCACAGGAGAAAGTTGCTCTCCCGTCGTCTTGTCTCCTCCACAGCATAATCCTTATGCAACTTACATGCAACTCAGCTAAGCCCAGAATTCTATACTCAGATTGCAAACTAACCCACATGGGATAAAAGAAATGTATACAAATGCCCATTCAAACATAAAAAAGAAAAATTCTCAAAGTTTAAAATGAGCTGGTGTAAATGGGAAAAAAGTAAGAAATGGAAACTGACTGATTCGAGTGGCCTGACCCCGCCTTAATGAGCATTGTAAAAATGCATCAGTTTAAAATTTAAATATCAGTTATGATGATGTATAAATTCTTCCCTTAAGTTTAAGATGTTTTGATGAAGATATATATGTTTATATCCTAAGGAGTTTCCAAAACATGGTGATTATCTCTCTTAGACCATCAAAGCCCTGGCTCCCTAGAACGTGGGCTTGTAAGTGTGGCAAAGGAGTTCTTGAGTCCAAAATTTTCATTAATAAAACAATTCTTGTTCATACTTTTGAGAACATATCTCTTAGATTTTGCACAAACTGTGCAGTAGCAATTGCCAGCGACTGCGCTGCAATTTGTATTATTTCTCATTCTGTTTAGGGACCATCTGGACTTCCGGGTTTTCCAGGACCACCAGGACCACCAGGACCACCAGTAAGTTTAGCTGCTTCTGATCAAACTTCGGTTATCAGGAGAACATCGCTGACTCAGTTTGAACATTGCTGGATTAACTCTTCAGGATCTATCTTGCCTTCTCAAGTGTTGTAGAGGCTTCTGCAGTAAAGGCATCATTTCTTTAGCTAAAGCTTTCTTTTTGATAAAATGATAGTTTTCTCTGCTGACAGCTGATGGCAAAAAACATAATGCACTTCAGTGCACACGAGGACTGTTCAGCTGATGCTAATACACTTTGAATGAAAACACAGACTTCCTGGTTCTTCAGCAGAGGTGAAAAGTACTAAGGGTGTTTCAGTCAAGCATCATACAATGGTGCTCTACTTGCCCTTATTGGGTATAGATACGCATGCGACATATTTAACATTCCTTACTCTCCCGGTTGCAGGGTATTCCCGGAGTTCTTCCTGACAGCAATGGTGACCTTCAGGTACTGTTTCTTGGCCCTTTCTATCCAACTGTTTGAGCTTTTATTCATATGTATGTTTGGGAGTTGCAGGCTTACCTTAAAGAGCAATCGCATTCTAACAATTTTTTTCACTCAAGTAGATTCTTGGCACTTTTTTGTCAGCCCAAGATTTGCTTTTGTCCTGATAACAGCGTCTCAGATCGATACTTCTCAAACACAGCCTTTGCTTTTGGAGTCCTCCTCAGGACCTTGTCAGGTGGGTCACTGTGATTCCAGGGCTGAGCCTCAGAGAGGAATGACTTCCCAAGGCTGTTTGCGGAATCTGTTGCTGAAGTGCAGCTCCATCTCAGGTGGGCTGCAGGAAGGCCGCATCCCTTTGGCACCAAACTGTAGCTGAGCCCCAAACTCCATGGCTGGTTCTCTGTGAGCTATTAGGGGATCTGTGTGGTGGATTCACTGCAGAGGCACTAAAGAAGCTCAGGGAAATTGCCTGGAAGGAAAAATGCAAAAGTTGCTGTAAGGTTTCTTCTGGTCCAGGCCACCCCTCTGTAGCAGCGGTGCAGGAGAGGAGGATACCAGGACCCTCCAAGAGCCCACAGGCTGGTCCTGAGCAAGACCAAGACCAAGTAAACTCAGGTAGTCTGAACAGGAGCCAGAAACAGGGTCTTAAAGTCCAGAGCCTTGCTCTAAGCCAGGGTGCGAGACATTGGGGCATCTAATACTGCAGGGTTTTACCTCCTGCTGTTGTGACAATCACAGAAGAAGCATGCTTTGGCTCCGGTTTGGAATACATGTTTGAATGCACACACAAATAGCATAACACACTAAATCACAATAAACAATACCGATGGATTTTAAAAACTCATTAGAATGAGTTTTTCCATGGTACAGCTGGGGGAGGTTGTGGAAAATTCAGTGGAAGCAACTCCTGATGAGGCCTTCCTTGCCTCTTTCCTTCCATCCTCTTCTGTCTCTTGCAATGTTTACACCTGCAAAGGAGAGGGAGAGATTTTAGCTTCCTTTCCCCATGATATTTGATCGATTGATTGATTTATATCCCACCCTTTTTCTATTAAAGAACTCAGAGAGACTTTTATCATTCTCCTGCTGTTGCTCTCAATCTTATCCCCACAACAACAACCCTGTGAGGTAGGTGGGGCTGAGAGTCTGTGACTGGCCCAAAGTTACCCGGTTGGCTCCATGGCTGAGCGGGGACTCGAACCCAGATCCTCTGAGTCCCAGTCCCAGGCTCTTAACCACTACACCACACTGGCTCTCATCTACTTCTTTGCGGTTCAGGAGATTTGCTGGTATGACTTCTAACTGCTGAGACAGAGTGGTAGCTCACTCTGAATGGGTGAGTATTAAGTGCGGGTTGCTGCTGAAACATGAGTTACTGTATTGTCTGAACCCTGGTGTGCTAACAAGCCATGGCTTATTAACCATGAACAACCCATGAAGAGGACCCTTGGCTCCTTTTTGGACTGTGAAGTGTGGTTTGTTCACCCTGGTTTATTATCTCAGCTGGATTTAAAGAACACAATAACCATATTTCTACAACAACCCAAACTCAACCCATATTCATCCCGTATCATTGGAACCCAGTTATTACCTCCTGGGAAGTTTTTCCAAAATCATATTTGTTAAATCTTGCATAGGCCAGCTTGAGTTGTGCTTCTGCACTAGATGGGTGGAATAGACACATTTTTGTTTAAAAAGTAAATAAAAAATAGTTTACAAAGAGATCCTCTACATATATTCTGAAGTGGCATAGCTCCACGAACTGTGTCCCTTGTGCCATGTTGAACATTTTTTTTTTATATCCTGCCTTTTTCCTACAAAGGGCTCAAGGCAGCTTACATCATTCTCCTCCTCCATCTTATCCCCACAACAACAACCCTGTGAGGTAGGTTGGGCTGAGAGTCTGTGACTGGCCCAAAGTCACCCAGTTGGCTCCATGGCCAAGCAGGGACTAGAACCCAGATTGTCTGAGTCCCAGTCCCATGCTCTTAACCACTACTTACTAAACAGGCCCTCCCCATAATTGCCTCCCCTCTGGAGCCCTGCCATGCCCCAAATTTGCTTTGGAGGTTCCCCAACTCACCAGAGCAAATTTGGGAGAGTGCAGGTGTCTGCAGGAGGAGAGGAGAAACATTTTCTACCATTCTGCTGGCACAAGGATGCTATTGCATACAATCCAAAAAGCCACCCATAACAAAAGTTATGTTTGCAAAATGTACAAAAAAGAGCTTCCAAAAACAGAGCTCGGACCACTTCATAGAATACTATAATGTCAATAAGAAGCATCTGGTCTTCATTTGCTCCACAGATCTGCTGCTGGCAGATTTATAAGGAGAAATGTCCCAGTGGCTCATGTCATTTCCCCCTTTCTTTCTTGCTTCTGTTTTTAAATGATCACTTTCAAGCTCAGTAATTTGAACTAGAACTGGTGAAGTTTTCTTTGCTTCTTGTTTCCATATGTCCTGCTTCCACAGGCAAGGGGGTGGTTCATTCTTTGCATTTTCTGCAAAAATGTCTCGATTCTTTGCGATGAAATAAACATGACATTAACGAGAGCCGGCAAGCAACGTTTCAAGACATCGCATCTGTTGTTTTGACAGCTTTTTGACTTCCCTAATTGGAATACTCAAGGAGAAGCTAATAATTTCCTTGTAATGCCTTACCAAAAACCCTTGCAGAGATCAGACAGAAAATGATGCTGCTTTTCAGTTTCCTTTTTCTTTAAAGGAACATTCTGCAGAAGTTCATCGAAAATTGTAACCTCAGCATGAAATTACATATTTTGGAGGGGAAAACAGAAAAGAAAACATCTTGCTTTAAGGCATATAGATGACAGAGCAACAACCAGAAAAACTCTTTCCAAGCTCCACCTAAGGTTGAACTAAGATAAGTGAGGGTTAAAGCTACCTATAAGCCACTGCTAAAAGTACCGGAGGTGAGGGGGTGGGGGGTGGAGTTGCCTTTTTGCCATCGGCCATTTTATTTCCCATTTTTACACACCTTTTGCAAGGTGATTTGGCAAGAACTGGATGAAACCAAGGGATGCAGATGTGGACTTTATTAAGGGCCCGCCCATCTAGCAGGAAGCTAGAAGGTTAATCCAGAACTGCTGGATTTGTGATTCCCAATTGTTTAGGAAGACCCGCAATAAAATAGCTCCCTCGATTTACACTGTGGAAGCAGAAAAAGCTTGGCATAACCCACAGAGCTGTTACACTCTGGGATGGGGAACCTTTTTCGGTTCAGGGGCCGAGTTTAGTCTTGGAGAACTTCTCGGGGCTGCATTCTAGAAGTGGTGCAGCCAGGCCAGTGGGGCTGGGCCAGAAGAAGGAGAACAAAAACGAAAGGCTCAGCCTATTTTAAAATTTAAAGTCATTGACCAAGACTTAAGAAAACAATTACAGCCATATAGAATGGGGTGGAGGATAACCACACTAAAGTTGGAAAGTCACCAATTGATCACTGTTTGGGAAAGAGACAGGGCTGCGGGGGGGGGGGGGGGGGCTATCTAGAGACTCCAGGCATTTGGGTTTGCTCTGGGCCTGAAAGTTCCCCTCTGCAATCTAGCCCTATTCAGGCATTATATTTACTGGTTACTGGAATGTGGCTCAGCTCATGCCAAGGAAACCTTCCCCTGCCGCTGCCCTTGTCAAATGGCCTTCCTTGCTGGCATCCGTGTATGCTGTAAAATGCGAGGCAGCAAGGGTACCTCTGTGTATCCTAATTATATGTCCTAAATAGGATTTCTATGACCCAGTTTTCAGAGAAGTAAAAATGGGAATCTTAGTTTTGCACCTCCCCAGAAAGCAAAACACACCCATTAATCTCTACACATAGAAAAAACTTCTCAGGGAGATGGCTGGCAGCCACAATTTCTCCCCATCCTTCTAGTCTAACTCTTTGTAGAGAATTTTGGGAAAGAATATGAGCAGGTGAGGCTTGTACAAAAGCTTAAGTCTCTTTTATTCATTTATTCTTATGTATCTACTGTATTTGCTATTCTATATCTAAGTAGGTTCCTGAGTGGTGAACAGTCCAATGTTAAATCAGATAAAAGAATAAAAGGGATACATTACAAGCAGGATAACATTCAAACCTTTACCTGCCTTTTTAGTATAGGTAGATATTTGGAGAAGGAAATCTTCCATCTTCAGTCTGATTAAAGGCAGCAGAGCAGTTTCAAATTACAACCTGAATATATGGTTTGTTGCTAGAAAGAGCAGGCTGTTCCTGTTACTAAGAAGAAACCCTTCCATTAAATTGGCCAGGGCGACTTATTTTATACAGTTATGTGTATTTTATATTGTTATTTATGTATTTTTATTTATTTATTTGTAAGCCGCCCCGAGGCTTCGGCGAATGGGGCGGCCTAGAAATTTTCTAAATAAAATAAATAAATAAACAAATAAACAAACCATGGGTGGCCTGCAGGAAAGACTTCCTGGAAGAAGGATGTCTTCCGCAGGTGCTGGAAACAGCACAGGGTTGGTGCCTGGCTGCCTTCCAGAGGCTGGGAATTCCGTAGAAATGGGGCCAACACAGTCAAGGCTCTTCTGGATTCAAGTCCAGCTGTAGGTCTGTATGAAAACACCAGGAGAATACCCCCAGTGGCTTCAACAACCAGGCAGGCAGCTAAGGGAGGAGGCACTCTTCCAAGTGTCCTGATCTGCGGTTGTTCAGGGCTTTGTGCTTCTTAAACCTGGCCTGGTAGTGCATAGGCAGCCAGAACAGCTCCTTCGGCAAGGAACTCTTGTTGATTCGTATTTATGGAGGGTTAGATGCAGAGAAACGCTGGCAGATGTGGTAGGCCAAAACTAACCTTATTCCTCCAATAGCCATTTCCTTGTGGTCTCCCAAAAGGCCTCTTCTAAAGATTGGGGGCCCCTAATGAATGGGGTGGGCTGTGATACAAGGGGAAGGTCACCAAAGATCTGATCGAGGAACCTTCCATGAACAGAGCTTGTCTTACAGAAGTTTCCATCCAATTTTTGGCTGTTTCATGTCAGGATCCTGTCCAACCCACACCGCAAGACCTCTTCAGAAAATGAGGGCTGGAGATTTATGGGACACACAACGCTTACAAACCTGGAGGAATGTTGTCCATGCGGTCACAGAGTCGGGCATGACTTTGTGACTCAACCACAACAACTCTTAAAAAGGCTTAAGGTTTCCTTACTGCTTTCCAGATATGTTGGAGTGCAACATTCATAACTGGAATTATAAATCTGCTCATGGAGTGTTAGTAGGTATTCCTATGCCTTTACACAAATTTGTTTGCTTCTTTTGGGTACAGTGCCCAGCTCTGTGTCCACCTGGCCCTCCAGGACCACCAGGAATACCAGGATTCAAGGTACAGAATGAACTTTGGTGAATTGTACCAGCGATGTAGTTGAGAGGTAGCTACCAAACGCTGCTGGAGAAAGAGTGGGAGAAGGCTGTGGCATTCGTGCCCTGCTTTGGGCATCTCGGGAGCACCCAGTTGGCTCTGTATGGTAACAGCACATTGCTGGATGGATCGGCCAACGGGGCTCTTCTAGGGAAGAGGTGAAATAAATCCCCAAGGCAAGAAGTGGTGTTTGCCATGTCAGTGCTTACATTCCACCACTCCAGGCCTTAACGATGATGTTATGAGATTGGGAACTGGGTGAGAGGAAAGGCCCTTTCTAGCCCTAGACTCTATGGTTACTGACTGGAGTTTGGATAAGAGAGGTTTATAGGAACCAATTGGTTGGCTGGAGAGTGTCTTAGGGTGCAATTCTATGCAAGTTTGAGTGGGAAAAGAGCCGACTCCCAGCATGCCCTGGACAGCAAAACCTGCATAACGTGTGCCCTAAGACAGTTATTAGTAGACAGAGCCAAAACCTGAGATTGGATCCAGGTTTAGTCATACCCAGGAGACCCACTGAAATCAACAGGCTGGTCTTGACTTATTTGTCTCACTGATTTCAGTAGGTCTGCTCTAAGCATGACTCAGTCTGGATGAAACCCTGGGTGCCTTGGAGGGGGGCAAGGGGCTTATCCACACATCCAATTCTGCATGAAATCCATGTCTGGACAGAGAATGAGTAATTCAGCAGTAATGAGATTTGGCTGCCTCTGGCTTCATCTTTAGGGACACACGGGAGAGAAAGGAGAGCCCGGAGAAGTGGGCAAAGATGGTGAGAAGGTAACACTTTTATTTAAGTAATTTATTGTGAAAAGTGCAACGGGGTTGTGGTTTTGGACTGGACCGGAACCAGAATCATAGGTCCTGTGACTGAGGGGCAGTCCTTTGATCTACTCAGGTTCTACTACATGGGCTAACTGTTTGCATGCCTAAAAGAAGACCCTGCCAAAGAGGAGAATTCAGAGCAGCCGTGAAGCACCCACGGGAAGAAAACGGGTTGGAAAGGGCCACTGTGGGCATGATTTGGGGAGTCTTTGGTTCATTTTCTTTTCTTTTTTTACAATTTAAAGGAGCTTTGTGCTCTCCTGCCCTGCTTTAAGTTCAGGAGAGAACTGGGACAGGTGTGGGTGGATCTCCTTCTGTGCACCCTTCTCTGGAATTCCACAATGAAATGCCCCCCCCCCCCCGCTAATAAAAGTGATGTGTGCAGGAGCAAAGCTAGAGAGAGTTTCTGGGAAGAAAGAGGCATGGCAGGAAGGGAAGTACAATGGAACAGATAAGCTGCTAGTCCTGATGGTTGTCTTCTACTGCCAGTGTGCCTATGTACACTGACTGCTGGGGAACATGGGCAGGAGGGTCCTGCTTGTGGGGTCCTGTCGGCAGCTGTTGGCCACTGTGTGAGCAGGATGCTGGTCCTTTGGTCTGATCCAGGATGGCTCTTCCTATGCACATTTCTAATCCATGGTCAGGCATGATGCCCTCCAAGGGTGCATTGGACAAGGCACACCCTCTGTTAGCCAGCAGGAAACAAAATGAGAAATTGCAAAGCTCTGTGTTAAAAGGAAAAATTGAAATTAAAATTATAAACACTCATTGTTCACTTTTTTAAGGGAGGTTTTACGTAGACAACTTAGGAAAAAGTCAGAGGCAGAAGAAGAGGAAGACCAAATATGGGATAGACTCCATAAAGGAATAAATAAATGCATAATAATTGATAGATAATTATTTACATTTTAAATATAAATAAGAAATCCATAAATAATAATAGAGGAAGCCACAGCCTTGAGTTGAGAAGAGCTGAGCAGGGCTGTGAGGGGCTCTCTGGAGGGCTCTCATTCACACGGTCACCATAAATTGGAAATGGCTTGATGGCCAGTAACAACCACAGGCAGCCTCACGTATGGACTTTCCTCTTCTCCCAGGGCTCACCTGGTCCCCCAGGACCTCCAGGACCACCAGGAAGTGTTGGCATGCAGGTAAAACGAACTGACTCCTTAAAAATCTGTTCCCTTCCAAGCCGTTTCTGCAGAGTTTGCCAATACAGTCTAACCCAGTCACACCCATCTGCCACGGCTTTGCACCGCTGCCACATCTTTCCTTCCCACACGAAATTCATTTCGGGTGAGAAAAAAGATGGAAGAAGTGGTGGGGGAACCAGGGAACATTACAAAGGGTGTGTGGTGGTGTCTGTTCCCCCCCCACCCCCAAATTCTGTGAATGAGGCCAGGTGAACGCACAGGGAAAATACCACTCCCCCGCCGCCACCCCCAGCTCTGGTGGCTTTCACTTCCACCCACCCCGGCCCTAAATATTGCTTGGACTGGAATTGCTTTTCTTTCTTAGGGACCTCGAGGACTGAGAGGCTTCACCGGGCCGGTTGGTCCTGTCGGAGAGAGGGTAAGTCTGGTCTCCTCCGCCTGCCTCTTTCGCAGAACCTTGGCTCCGTTTGCCTGAAGGAAGCCCGCTTGCTCTCGGACGGGGGGGACGGGGGACGGCTGGTTTGAAGGGGAGAGTCCGCAAGTGCCTTGGTTCAGAGCGCAACCCACCCTCCCTGCAAATGTTACGAGGCAGCCGTGGGCCGTGAGCCATGGGATGCTCACCTCTTCAGCTCGGCTGCCATGATATTGGCCCACCGAGAAAGCTGAATGACACCGACAATGTGATTCAGTCCATGTGCCTTCCTCCTTGCCCTGTAATTGTAATTACTTTATGAAGGATAATTTCAGTTATTTATTGTAGCTGTAGCCCCACTTTTTCCTGCAAGAAACTTGCCCTCATTCTCTTCTTCCTCTTCTGCCCTATTTTATGCTCATAAAATCGTGTGAGATAAGCTAAGCTGAGAGTCCAAGCCTGTCCCAGAGTCACTGGGCGAACCCCGTGGCGAACTGGGGACTCGAACCCGGATCTCCTGAGCCTCACCCCAGCACTCTAACCATTACACCACATGGTTCTTGATGACCTTGACTTCTAGATGGAGATTTTATGACATTGGTTCTTTGTTTTCAGGGGTTTATTGGTTTCCGAGGACCACCTGGTATCCCAGGGCCTCCGGGAAAAGCGGTATGGCTCTCTTTTTCCATCGCTCTGTGTGTGTGTGTGTGTGTGTGTGTGTGTGTGTGTGTGTTCCCAGTTTTACAGATGACCCACTTCTGACCCAACAATCCCAGGTGCCGTAGCTCAGTGGCAGAGCATGTGGCTCGCACGTACTAGGTTTTCTGTCCGGGGGCCCCAGTTCAAAGGGTCTCCAGAGGCAGGCTGCTAGCTTGCTCTCAGTTGCATTCGACACGATGCTGGGCCAAACTGACCAAGCTCTGGCTCAGCGGCACACATTCAGGCCTGCCTGTTCCTCCTCTCTTTCAGGAGAGGCAGATCTCTCTTTCTGCTGCTGCAGGGCAAGACTGCCTTTTCCCAGCTTTTAAGCCCCAGTATTTCATCGAGGGCCGTGCTCGTCCCCCCCGACCCCGCCCTCCTGACCCACAACTGCAGTCGCCCCGGCTACGCATGGCTGTGCAGGTCTTGCAACCCCCTGCTTCTCGGTAACTTGATGTTATGAGAGCAACATGCCTTCCTTGGATACCCACGCTGTTTTCCAGCCCAATTTAAATCTCACTTTTAAAATTTATTTTGGACCACGTGTTTTCTTGCTGCTCCAGGCAACTGCTGCCTTTTAAGAGAAAAGCTCTGAAAAGCTTTGTGTGAGGATAAGCGCCAGCAAAAGCGTTGGCTCGCTGGACTGTCTGCTCTTTTGGAAAGGCCGGCCAACAGAGGCACCCAGTGTGACCGCCTGGGGAGCGTGGAGTGAAGTGGCAGGTCCCCTGCCACGTTTAATGCCCCCTGGATCTGCTGGCCACCGTGGGAGGTACAGAGAGTGGTCGGGCTTTGCTGGGCTTTGATCCTAGAGTTGAGGGGAGTCGATCCTTTTGCGGCACTTTTCCACACAAGACTTTTAACGGGCTGATAATCCACTTGTATCAACTTTCAGTTTGGTCATAGAATTGAGATCTGAGCACTACCCGAGAAAAGTGTTCCTTTCCGCTTTTCTGCTATATCACCTCTAGGTGGCAATGTAGCACAATTGAATAGCACAAAATCACAAGAGGAAGTTGTGTTTTCTTTTGCCATCAGAAATAATACTCAGTTTCTCCTGCTCTTAAAAAAACTCAGAGAAAATACTGGTTGCAAACAGAATTAATCATCACCAGCTACATATCTAGCAGAGAAATGACAAGCATGCTATTAAATGCCTTGTGAACCTAAAATATACAATATTTTATCAGAAAGAAACTCATTAATTTCATGTGTCTGGAATAGTGAAACAATTTCCTGAAAGACAAGTCATTCATTCCTTGCTAAGTGAAGAAAATCATATCTTCCTTTTACAAGAAAGAAATGAAATGAATGAAGAAAAAGCTAAAGGAAGAAATGAAATAAAGGAATATGTTTCTGGAAATTCTTAAACAGCACTCATAATTATTATTCACAAAAAACATATACCCAAAGAAAATAGCAAAATAGAGTGCATAAAAGTGCATAAATTTCTTTTTTAAAATGAATGTTGTTAGTATTGATATAATTGTACAAGATTCAAAAGTGTGTTTTGTAAGATAAATTCTTTTAAGGTAATTCTGTAAACACTGAAGTGCCAGGGTTGTTGCAAAGATTTTGGAACTGGACAGACACAAAGCCAATTAAAACAGAGACAAGCTGGAGGCACAACCAATGTTGGTTTCCAGGTGCGTATGTGTCTACCGTATGCATATTTGCTTGCAAATATAAATTTGTCTCCAGATGTAGCATTTATCTGTAAAATATTGAGGATTACACTGAAAAAAATGCCATGTGCAAACCAGGCCTTGGACAGCACAGGAAGGGCAAAGATGGTGACTAATATTTTCCGCTTTGCAATTTCAGGGACCCCGTGGAGACAGGGGGCCTCAAGGCTTCCGGGGGCCCAAAGGTGATACTGTAAGTATGATGGAAGAGCTGCTTTCTGCAAGGTCAAGGCAGCTTTCGTTTAGCATTTTTTCATGTGCAGGTTTCACCACCACCATAAAGAAAGAGGAATTCCTCTTAGCTCTCACTCTGAACAAGAGTCCCTTTGTTTTCTCTGAAACTATTTCATTGCCATTAATAATACTCAGGATTGTTCCTGCTTTTTATTTCTAGGGTAGACCAGGAGCAAAAGGGATGCCGGGGACTGCTGGCCCTATAGGAGAACCTGTAAGTCCTGCTAAGAAGGGAAGGAAAAAAGCTATTTTTTCATGTTGAGTGAATTGCACTGGAACATGTTTATTATGCATTGCAGGAAATACGGTGACCCCTACGGTGCTTTGAATCCTGTGCTTCTCCCCTCCACCCACCCAGCCACCCAACTCCCCTTTTCATTTTCATGAGCAGCAACTGCAGGATGCCAGCCTGAACGGGGATCATGGGTGCGGAGGGAGAGGCTTAACCCTCTTCGCCTACCTAGGCCATTCCTGGCACTTAGTTGCTCTCAAAGCTGCTAATAGCAGCCAAATTGGCAGCTAATCACGGAGCTCACAAACATGTTTAGCAGCTCACGGCAGCTGATTATTCAGCACCAGATATTTCAGGATTCGTGACAGTTAGCAGAGTCTCACCGGGTGCAGCTCTTGTGGGTGCTTCAGATTGCAGGCTTGTTTGGATGCTTTTCTCTGGAAAACGGGAAATCAAGCACAGAGAGCAGGCGGGTCAGAGAGGACTGTTCCAGCTGAGCTTTCTCCAAGGCTCGCCGGAGCAGGGAGCATTCCTGAGCCCACCCTGAAGCGGACCAAGGCTCTGCACGTGGTCGGGGCGAATGCACAGTGCAGGTCACTCAAGAGGGGCCGCTTGCTTCCATCACTGTCTTTCCCCGCCTGAAGACAGCTGGGCAACCCTGATAAGAAGAAGGAGAAATAGTCCGAGAGCAAGCACAGTGTCACCTTTTAAACTCACTGAAATTGTAGCAGCAGCATCACGACTGCCGGAATATGGTGGAGTTTGCTTCTGCTCTCCTAATGTTCAAGACATTTGCTTGGGAAGAAGCTGAACTGTGATGTAGAAAAGCATAAAATATATGTAAAGGAAAAGTAAAAGGAGCGAAGGACAAGCTCTCTTGCCTTCTCCCCGGCTCTCTTGGTGCATGCATTTAACCAAGGGGTAGGGCCCTACGTAACCCCCCCCCCCCCCCGACACGTCTCTCCTGGCCCACAGGGTGAATCTGCACCTGTTGATAACTGCAGCTTCACCTGCTGCAGGTGAAGGTGAGGAGGGCCTTTGTGCTGCAAGACCCTGGATTGGTCCCCGGGTCCAGCTCGAACGCATCGCTACCTCCTCTCACTCCTTCTTGCAACCGGCTTAGCCTTGTCTCCGCATTGTTCTGCATCGTTTCAGGGCATGCCTGGAAAAGACGGGAGAGATGGAACACACGGACTCGATGGTGAGAAGGTTTGTAGTCCTATTTCAGACCCCTGTCAGAAAAGGCACTTGGGAAGGCCCCTGGGCAAAACGCCCTCCCTGGGCCCCCTTCCCCAGCGAGTTGGCCTTCTCGCCTCCGTGGTCACCAGCAGCTCTTGTTCCCTGTCCTCTGCTCCATCAGTTGTTTGCTTGACTAGCAGAAAGCCGGTGAGCAGGTAGGCAGAGGCATCCGCGGCTTCTTCGCATCTTCCTTATAGTCTGGGCTAGAGCAGAGGCAGGCGAGCAAGAGGGTTTCCATGGGGCAGAACGTAGCAGCTCCGTGGGGCCCTCGCCAGGGCACCCCTGCCCAGGGCAGGTCCTCGGTGAGCTCCCAGTCATGCTTGCTGCTGCCATTGGCAGGGTGTATCAACCAGCTATGCTGGCTCAGACCAAGGTCTTGGAATCAGGGCTGTGCTGAACTGGCTTTGCCCCACCTTCCCGGGGGGCTGAAACAGGTAAGCTCAGTGGCATGCAAGTTTGTCATGAAAAATGCTTATTAAGATGGTGCAGATTCTCACCCATTTCTGAACTGATTCAGCACCATGGTTTTCCCAGATGGTTGTGGCACTCTCCACCTTGGAATTTTCAAATGCATGATCTTACCTTGTCAGGGATCATGTCTTGGATAGAATGTGACATATACAATCCAATTTGGCTATGTGGTGACAGTACCAACCGTAGTTTGGAACAACAACTGAGAATGAAGGACATTTTAATTGCACCCTGAGGCTGCAGACCTGAACACACGTATCTAAAAGCAAGCCCCTTGGAACTTACTTTCCAAACTACAGTTGTGTTTCCAGTGAACTTTTGCTAGGATTGATCAAAAAGACAGGAAAGGTTTGTGTATTCTCTGGCACTGCTGAATGTATGTGCAGAAAGGGAAAGTAACATGTATTTTTCCTGTTTTATCTTCTGGAAAAGCCCTTGAAAACCGAGAGCAAATGCCTTCAAGGGACAGGAAAAGCCATGGGAGCCGCTTTGCTCTGGCCTGCCCCACGACCTTTCATGCAATTCTTTTCAGACTCAGTAATTTTAGGTCAAGGGAAGCCAGCTGGGGTTGGTGATGGTGAACTAGAACTCTGCCACATTGCCTTCCACAATCGCTGGAGCAGATTTGACAGTATTCTTAAACATTTGCAGTTTTATGAGTGAAAGCTAAAGTGAAAGAGGTGAGCCTGGAATACAGAATGTGCGGACTTGGTGCCTGGTGGGAGGGGCAAACCAACCTGCTGAGGCAGTGCGTGATTTGCTGGCATGTCTGCTTGTCATTAAAATTAGGAAGCCAGGCTGAAGATGAGCTCGCATGAGGAGCAAAAAGGACATGCAATGAGTAAATGTACATCAGAGTATACAGTAAAAGAATCCAGTTCTTCTTGAAATGTTGCACCTGGTTTCATCTGAAATCAATCCATCCCAGCAGGAGTCTGTTCAGATCTAAATGTTGCAATATTGGTAGTCAGGGAGCTTTAAGAAGAAAGCTTTGGCCAGGATTACAGCTAAGCAGCCCAGCTGTCTTTCCATTTTATAATCTTTCCAGATCATATTAGTGTCTTGTCTATTTTAGTTTTTTAGGATTGCACTTTAATGCTATTGTGCTATCTAGATTGTGATTGTTGTGAGGATAAAATTATTTTTATTTGATTTATATCCTGATTTTTTTCTTATAACCGATTCAAAGCGGCTTACATCATCCTCTTCCCGCTGCTCCTACTCTTATCCCCACAACAACAACCCTGTGAGGTAGGCTCAGCTGAGAGTCTGTGACTGGCTGTGGCAAAGTCTCCCAGCTGGCTCCATGACCAAGTGGGGACTAGAACCCAGATTGCCTGGGTCCCAATCCGGTGCTCTCAATCATTATACCGTATTGGCTCTCAGGAGAGGAGAATTTGAGAGCTGCCTTGAGCTCCTTGCTAGAAGAAAGAAAGGTGAAGTATAAATGCAATGCAACAACGCTTATGATGGTGCCTCAAAGAGATCCAGCAGCTTGCCCAGATCATAACCTCTTGCTGTTCGCAGGGTGATGCGGGTCGTGCTGGTCTTCCTGGAGAAAAGGGGCCAAACGGCCTTCCTGTGAGTATTTGTCCATGGAAATTCGACCAAAAACCATGGGGGTTCCGTGTTCCCACTAAAGTGGTAAAAGAAGGAGATAAGACCCACCGCTCTGGGAATTCTTAAGGAGAAGGGCAAGGACTGCATCATGCTGAGGTACCCTCTGACTTCAACGGGCTAAAGGGCTTGCAGCTGCCCTTGGGGTCTCTCCTGGTCAGAGTCCATCCCTGGTCAGAGTCCATCTCCACCACGGTTGCCTGGCCTTCATGACCTGCCTCATAGCACTCTTGATTTAGCGATGGTGCTTTTCCAAGGAGACCTGCAGCAGCTCTCAGGCACGGTGGCCCCCTCCCCATTTTCCGTGGCCGTTGCCAAAGGGGCAGGAGGCTCGCCAAAGTGGAGCCAAACCACCGGCAGTAACTGAGCAGACGGCAAGCCATGCATTCAAACAAACCAGGAGCCGTGGGAACTAAGCTTCACAGGAGGGTGTATTCTGAAAGGGAGCCAGACCGACCACCAAATTTACCCTTGCTAAGCGTGCGTTGCAGTAAAGGGAAGATCGCAACAGGTAGCACTCTACAAAACAGAAAGTTTATTCCCAATCATCTTCTCCCCTTGGCATTGTTTACCTCCCTTTTAATCATGTCTTGTTTTCCAGAGCACTAAATAGTGCTTTGATTCTTTATGGATGCCCTGTTTTTGTTTTGCTACTGATGACATTTTCCCCCATTAGGGTTTACCTGGAAGAGAAGGAGCTAAAGGTGAAAAAGGTGAACCAGTAAGTCAGTCCTCTTATTTATCAACTTTTCATTGGGAACCTACGAATTAACACCTTGACAAAATCTTCTGTTGGGAGTCAGGGTGTACGGAACAGGGAAATCCACCTCATTTGAGTGTGAACGATTTCTGCCTGCTTCCAGTCCGGGTTCGTTTCTCTGATTTCTGTCTCTAGGGCAGACTACAATTTGCACTTTTTAAACTGCTAATGACATCTGCACAAAAGATGTGTGTCTGGTGTGAGATCAGCCAACTGGTACAAATTGCTGGTTTTCAGGTATTGATTTGCACAAACTTCATTAACAGTTTAAAAAAGGCACAAACCAGGATCAGTTTCGAGACAGAAATCCAGGAGCTGACACAGGTCTCACCACAGCAAGACAGCTCTAGCCCAGGAGTGGAGGATGGGGGAGATTGTGAAAACCCTTCATGTTTCCCTTCCTCGTCGGGAGGATGTCTTCGTTAAGGCACATAATCCCCTGCTGGTAATCACAACACAACACAACCAAGCCCAGCAGATGAGCTGCATCCATTCCTGAGTCAGCCTGACTTGCCAGGATTCATCCATGGTTCCCTCATGTTAGATTACTGCCATGTGCAGTATCCTGGAAAAGCATCCAGAAGCTTCTGCTGGTGCACAATTTGGCTGCTGAGCAGTAAGCAGGATTAAGATCCCATCACCCCAACACTAGAAGGTCTTCAGTAGCTTTCTTGGCCCAAGTCACCAAATTACAGTGTTGGTTGCAAGCAGAAGATCTCCAAATGGCTTTGGGCTATCAAAGGAACTTCTGGTTCCAGTATGAACTTAGAAAGATCAGCAGGAGAGATGTTTCTGAAGATACTCTCACTTGTCGATGACTTTTTAACATGGGCTTTATCCAAATTCTGGAATTCATCCCCCACTCTTTCCACATTCAGACACAGATATTTCCAACTTGGCTTTTTAATAGCAATGCCTGCTATTGCTGGAGTGGCTTTTGAAGGCTGTTTGTAACACTTTAGCATGTCTTCTTTAGAAGTTTCATTTTCTGAATTTTTAGAAACTGCCTGGGTGGGTTCATGAAAGGTGAGACAGACATGCGACAGGGGAACCAGTTTCTTCTGCCTCTCATAAAAGAGAAAGTGGACTTCTAGAGATGCTGGGCTCACTTCCTATCCTCCTTCTCTCACTGCAGGGCAGTCCCGGAGAGATGGGGGAGTCTGGTCCTTCGGGAGAGCCAGGTATACCTGTACGTATCTCATCCACATGTGGACCATTTTTGTGGACAGCATCTTGTTTCAATGCTTTTCTGTGTCACTCATGGGCGGAGATCTTTGGGATGAGTTGGTTCTGCATAGTAACCTTCTACTTGCTACCGGTATACAAGTAGCCCACCTGTTCTGAGTGAACAGGTGGCCTGGTCTGTTGATAAATGAGCAGGTTTATTTTCTCATTCTCAGGGAGATCAGGGAATCCCTGGGGAGAGAGGAGAGCCTGGGCCAAGAGGATCTCCGGTAAGTAAATGACCAGCAGTCTGATTTAAAGTACTGCAGACCATGTTTAGGGCAAAGTGCGCTTTGATGGCAGTGGTGATGCAATCAGTATAAACGGCATTCAGGGACAGATCCCTGCCCCAAGGCGTTTGCAGACTCTTCCCCCCAAGCCAAGCCAAACCTCAGCTGAAGCCAAGTCTGTTCCTGTGCAGCATTTTCCTTTGTCTGGCTATTGTTATGACTGCAGCTCCTGCTGGTTCTTTATCAAAATGATAAAGTAGAATGGAGAAAGGTCCATGAACTTTTCTTTGCCTGCCTGCTTCTTAGATTCCTCTTAAAATATCATGACATTAAGAAGCCAATTTAATTCAGAGTTTTAATTTCAAGAGAACTGTTTGTTTTCATGTGGCATCTAATGAGCTGTATCAGTTGACTCTCAGCAGCAGGGAAAGTTTTGCAGTTATATTGCACCTCTGTTTCTTTGCGTTTATGTAATTAAAAAGTGTGCAGTACATTCAAGCTGATTCTTCGCAAGGGCCCCGGGCCCCTCTTCGACTGGCCGAATTGGACATCGGGCTCCATGACTGAGTTGCTGAATTTTAAACTTCGTTTGCATCTTCAGTCCTTGCAACAAATCTGGGACGAAGGAGGAAGGCTACAGAAAAGCGCACTGTTACTGAATAGCATCCCCTTCTTGCTTTCTAATGGAGACCCACAGCATGAACAACTTGGATCTACGGCTTTTTCTCCCATCTTGCACCTTTCCAAGAGAGTTTGGAATCCTTCAGTTTTCCATCTGGAAACAGCAGTCCCTGCACAAGATCTCTCCTCCTTTTCAGAACAGGGTGTTTCCTCGGACAATTGACCCCTTTCACCTGTGCTGTTTCCCCAGTTACAATTCCCCACCCCACTCTGAGTTGCTCAGTGTCCACAGGGGAATGGTTTAAATTCTGCCCCCACTGCCATGCTGAAACGCCTGTCTGCGTGGGGCAGGGGAGGGGATTGCTGCTGTTAACCTATTTATGGGTGATCCTGTACACACTTCGCCACATCACGGCAGCTCAAGCAACCTGTTCAGAGTAGGGATTGCTTCCAGGTGACTGGACAGAAAGATGGTACAGAAATTGGCTCTTACGCAGGGGAGAAGCGCTAGCCCTTAAATGAATCCTGTGCAGACCCCTCAGCGAGGATAAATCCATACCTTAAGGCTCATCTAACGATATTTCTTTCTGTTGTTTGTCTGACATAATCGCAAGTTTTCAACAAAATAGCCTCAGCTTCTTACTGTCAGCTTCACATTGAGCATCAAGGGCCCGGAAACATCTGTCACAAATTCAAATGAGATTTCCAAATCACAACTTGCGGGTTGGCTTTTCACTTTTAGGGGGAAGAAGTGTGCTTATTCATACCAACACAAGAGCCCATTGTGCTAATGCAAGATGCTGTCGCATTACTTCATCCATATTAGTGCTAACTTGCATTATCTTATGTAGTTAGTGCATTTGTACAAGTGTGCCTTAGCAGTAATATGAGGAAATTCTGTTCTTAGTTATCAGAAATTTCAGATAAGCAAAAATCTGATTCTGTCGATGAGAATGATGGAATGAAAGACAGCTGCCACTCCTCAAAATGCAGCCAGAGTGAATTTAATGGAAACTTCTTGCCCTTTGGTGAGCTCTCTTTACATCGAAGCTTTGTCCACCCTGGCCAGATGTGGAAATGTTACCCAAACTGCTTCAGTTACCATCTTACTTTAGACCCAGCTTTCCCCTCCTGATGTCTTCCAGATGTGCTAGACTGCCATGCTGGCTGGGGAAAACTGAGCTGTGGGCCAGCACATCTGGAGGGTGCCATGTTGGGCAAATCTGTCTAAAATTCTTTCTCAAAGTCGCCTTCTCAGGGAACTAAATCCAGCCAAGATGCATTCAAAGAGACTGAGCAAAGCAGATGCTATTTTTGGTGCGATTGGTATTTAGATCGCTGTTGGAGAAGTCAACAGAGTTTCAGGGGGCAGTAAAACAGTGTTGGTGATCAAGGTGTTGAAAGAAGACTTTCCTACTGGGAGGCAGGATGAGTCGTCTGGGAGCCAGGAATTCCACCCAGCCTAGCGAAGCCCTTGCAAGATGACTGTCCTTTTTGAAAGATTTGTAACCATGTGTTCAACTTGCACCTCCCTGAAGTTCATCACACAGCCATGAGAACGGAGCAGAATTTTTCTCCTCACCTGTTGTCTTTGTCTTTCTTTCCTTCAGGGACCGATAGGCCTCCAAGGCCCCATGGGAGTACCAGGCATCAGGGGCTACCAGGTCAGTCCATGAGCACAAAATTGGAACCGTTCCCACCAGCGTGGCCTTCAAGCCACAAACTCACACACTGCCGACCTCCTGCCCGGACTATTGTAATGCACTTTATGTGGGGTTGCCCTTGAAGGTAGTCCAGGTGTTGCAATTGGCTCAAAATAAAGCTGCCAGTTTGCTGACTGGGACCTACAGGAACATGTTTTGCCTGTCCTATATCAGCTACACTGGCTACCAGTTGAAGTCCGGGCCTGATTTACAGTGCTAATAGGACAGATAAGGTCCTAAATGGTTTAGGGCCTGGTTATCTAAGGGAACATCTCCTTCCATCTAAGCCTGCCCAGACCTTAAGGTCATCTGCTGAGGTCATTTTCCTAGAGATGTCCTTGATGCACCTGGACCACCATCAGAGAAGGATGCCGTAACTGGAAGTCCTGCAATGAGCAGCGGGTTGGACTTGATGGCCTTCTTGGCCCCTTCCAACTCTACTGTTCTATGATTCTATGAAGCTGAGGAGCAGAAATGGCTGGACAAGAAGGTCTAGCTCCCCACACACTTGCATGCAGTAGTTCTGACCTGGATTGGGGCCCTACATGCTCCCACAGAGTAAATGAAAATGAAAAACTCCCCTAAACACTCCGCATTAACAGGGTGTGCTGCTTACTCCAGAGCAAAACTGCATGGTGGCAGTTCCCCCTGCTCCAAGCATCATCTCCAGTGGATACGTGACCTTGTTACACATTTTATTTTCTTCCCCAGGGTCGTAAAGGTGCGAGTGGGGAGCCTGGCCTTCCTGGTCCCACTGGAATCCGGGGCGAGCCTGGTGAGAGGGTAAGGAAAAATCCCTCTGTGATGCGAAAAATTATCCAAAGGGGGCAACTTAATTTCATTAGGAATAACTTGCTATTTGTGCCATCTTTAATGGCCTCTTTAATCTGCTAGTTAGATTAAGTAAAATATTTGAATTAATGGGGAAAAGGTGCCACCAATTCGTTACTCAGCAGACTGCATAGCTAAAGTTAATTACTTGGGCCAAGCACCATCTCGGGGTGAGGATCCTCTCCTAGGGGAAGATTCAGCCACCTACCACATCAAGGGCGTCCTCTCTTGCTGATCCTCAGGGCTTTTTACTATCATGAAAGAGGGAGGCAACCTCAGGGGAGTGTGAGGGGGAAAGCCTTCTCATGTGGCTCTTTTCTTCCCCCTCTTCTTTAGAATTTCTTTCTAAATTCACCCCACCACTGCCATTGCAGCGGCTAAAAAGCAGGGGGAGCGTCTATTGGTGTCCATGGAATTGTTTTTTAGCCGCTGTGTAGGATCAAGGAGGGAAGTTATTGGGGAAGCAGCTGGGTGGGATGTTGTAACCCCCCATCCCATGCCTTGGTGGTCCCACTCTAGATTGGGGCACATGCTTACACTAGAGGAGAAAGCAAGTTAGGAACAGTGTTCTGCATTGAATGATGGCGACCACATCACAGGTCTGTCACGTGATGGGGCGGGTCTCTATGGAAGCCCCCCCCCCCACCATGATGTATGGTCAGCATCACACTGGCTTACTTTTCGATGCCAGGGCATGGTCTTCTTGCCTCTCCCCTTGCAGAGGCATCCCTAGAAGCACCACTTAGTTGTCTGGAAAAAGTCCCAGTGAGCTTTTGACCTAAATCATTTCTGTGCTTGCTCCTTCTTTGCTCCCAGGGCCCTGGTGGTGTTTCTGGACCGAAAGGGAACCAGGTAACCTCCGTTTCCATTTTCTGCATTTGCAATGCTGCATCAGTCCATTTATTAACTGCACAATAGCACCGGACGGGGGGTATTCCTCTCTTGTAACAAGAGGTTATGAGGTCTGCAAACCAATCCTTGCCCCTGTCTTTAGGAAACTTGTTTCAAAAGCAAAATGCACACTGATCAGACCAAACACATCTGCATATCTACCGCCTCAGATATTGTGCTCTCATCAGCAGCTCTGGGTATGATGCAGCCAAAACTGCAGAGGAAAAACATCGGCTGCAACGATCGGGACATGACAAAAACCCGCCAGGTGGTCCATCAGCCAGCGGTAGATTTCTCCTGCGATGATTTCTCCCATACCTGGTCAACAAACGCCCCCTTTTGGTTTAAAAATGAAAGGCTGCCTGACAGCTCGGCAGAAACGCCTGGCTGATCCTACAAGCCCTCCTTGCTTTCGTTCACTCAGCAGCCAAAGGCAGAGATTCCAGCAGGCCTTGGGCCATTCAGGCTGGTCTGTTGCGGAGACAGGCTCTCTTGGGTTAGGTTCTCTCAATTTCTTTTCTTGTTGTGCTTCTAAACTGTTCTTCTGATGGTTTTAGGACACAGTGCTGTGGATGATAGATAGAAAAGGCCTTTCTGCTCCCAGCGTTCCCCAGCCAGCTTCTCTGAGGCTGTACGAGTGGCCTGGGAGAGTGGGGCTGGGGGGGCAGGGTTAGGGTTAGGCTTAAAGTAGAGCAGGCAGCCGATGGAAGGCGCTGCCAGATCAGCGCCCAAAGCACACCTAAAATGGGCTGTCTGCACAAGCAGCCTGAAGACCGATCAAGAAGGGGTGAAGCGGGTTGCCTTGGGGAGGGAAGGCCGCAGCTCCGGGGCCACCCCTGAGAAGGCTCCTTGTTGGAAGCTCTTTGCTGAAAGTCTGCCGTGTTCAGAGCCCGCAGTTCCCAGTAGGTATTAGGTGGTGCTCCGTCCCTCTTGAGGGAAGGGGCACAGCTCAAGACGCTGTTTCTTCTTCCTCTCCCTCTTCCTCAGTGACAGTGATCCTTGTGTTGCATTTTCACTTCCAGGGCATCGCAGGGACAGATGGGTTGCCTGGTGAAAAAGGAGAGCTGGTACGTGGCGATAACGTCTAGGACTTCAGAATACATGCATGGATTGCAGCAAATGAGTCTAGAGAAGTCTGCTTCGCTCATGCAGTCTCGGGTGGGGATCACCTCCGAAATTAAATCCTGCAGGCTTCAGGCTGATGGACAGTTGCGTGGCTGATGGCTTGCCTCAGAGTGACTCCTTCTGTGCAGGCCCCTCCCGCCAGCCCGGCTTCTGAAGCCCATGGCCTTCATCTTCTCCCTACCACCTGCTGCCAGGAGCAGCCAGGACGCCGCCAGGAGCACTCAAGCACCCAGCCATGCCTCTGACCTACCTGGGTTCCTGGGGCTTGCTGCGTCCCTGCAGCACAACCCACCCGTCCACTTCTAATTCTGTCCCCGCATCTTAAAGGAAGCTCTTCTGCTACTCTGGCTTCTTGGCTCGGTGTTGCAACACTCGTTTTGCATGCAGAAGCTCCAAATTCAGGCCCAGCGTCTCCAGGCAGGGAAGGAAAGATTCCTCTTGGGGTGTGTGGAAATGGAAAACCTGCAGCCAGGGCAGGTGGGATGGAATGGAATGGAATAGCCTGAGGAACGGGCTGGCTGGCTGGCTGGCTGGCAGGCACAGTGAATGAGAGCAGTCCACGTTTTTGGTAATGCTCTCCCTTGTTCTTTGGAAAACACACTCTTTGTTCTTCTTTCTCTTTTTCTCTAGGGTCCTTTTGGCCCTCCTGGGCAAAAGGGGGAGGTAAGTTTCATATACTGAATCTTTAATTATAAAATTATGATTCCGGTAATTATCATCCCTCTCTCCCTCATTCTCTCTTTCCCCCACTTCTATGCTGGTTTACCTGGACAAATTACAACCAATTTAATTCTTAAACTAGTATAGTGCTGTCTTTGCCACACCACAGATCAGCTTTCCCCAACCCAGTGTCCTTCAGATGCTCTGACAATGCACACTTGCTGGGGATGATGGGAATCACACACCAGCACTGTTACAGATGTTCCCTTTAGAGCAGGGGTCTCAAACTCGCGGCCTGCGGGCCAATTGCCAGGATGGGCGGGCCACGGGGGAGCGGCCCTGCGGCCTTCAAAGCGCCGGCGGCGCCCGGCCAGCCGTGGGATGAGCGGCCCACCACCACCGCGGTGGTGGAATACTTGATGCGGCCCAGCCTCACCCAGACTCTACTTCCAGCGGCCCCCAGGTAAGTTGAGTTTGAGACCCCTGCTTTAAAGTGTGATCCTATCCAGGCTGAAACAGAAAAATCCTGGATAATCCCATGAGCTGCAGGACCTCTTTATGAGTAAACCTGCACAGGGTCACTTTTAGCTATTCTTTTCCAGCCTGATTCTACGTACACAACCTTTCTTTTGCAAATTACTTTAAGCAACAGGAGGAACCAAAAGCTGCAACTTAAACTCTCCGAGAGGTCCCTTTCCTTTGTGAATAAAAAATAAATGAGTGCAATGCAAATGTACCTATAAACAGATGATGATGATGATGATGATGATGATGATGATGATTTTATTACTGAGTTAATAATTCAGCATGGATGGCATACGAGAAGGCAGCACTCTTCATTTCTAAATTGCTGCCGAACCGGAGCCTGACTCACACACCCAAACGGCAGGATCCCAGTGTCTTAATAATGACCCCTGTTGCTCGCACCCTGCATGGAGCATCTTGCTCAGTACTTTTCACGGCTGCTTCAGCCCCATTTGAATGTGAACCATTTTCTCAATGGAATAGCAGCAGTTGCACAGTTGTTTTCAAGCAGCCACCTGAATGCTCTTTTGCCTGTGCGAATTGGGCTCGCACCTGTTCACAGTGTACACAGGACCCCCTGCCTCCTGTGTAGGAGAGCAAAACTCAAGCCGTGCATCCACAGGGAGGAGACGATGTTCCCTTCCTGTGGCCGCCCATCACACCTTCGTGCTTCACACACTTGGAGGCTGACGGGGAAACGAGAAGCTGCCAGCCCCGTGTGCAAGTGCAAGTTCGTTCGCAATCCTCTCCCATATTTTTATTCATTTTCCATCTGCATCCTGCCTTTCAGCAAAGGCATCCAGGGAGTTCACAACATGAGCAAGAAAATACGGTAATCCAAACAAAATCTCAAGAATTAGAAAAAAACATTTCAAACTGTGGGATTCATATGCCACAAGGGGTGGAGCACCCAGTGGGGCCTGCGGTCTTTCAGGCTATCTGCTCGGGCTCTGAGATCTTCCAGCGAGGCCCTTCTCTTGTCCCCACCATCCTCACAGGGATGCTTGTTGGGGGATGCAGGAAGGGCCTTCTCGGTGGCTGCCCCAAGGCGCTGGAACTCCCTTCCCAGGAAGGAGGGTTTGGGGCCTTCCCTGTGAGCTTTCCAAAAACAGACAAACCCATTTTCGTTCCACGAGGCATTTGAGAATGGTCCAGGACTGCCAGTTTGCACTAACTAGTTCTAATTTTCTACATACTTTCAATGCTTTTAATTTGGGTATAATTTTAATACTTCACTGATTCAATAATATTTTAACTTCTGTAAATTTCTGTGAACATTTAAGTCTGTAAGTTGAGGGCTGCCTTGCATGCCAGCATTGGGAATAAGCAAATAATAAATTATTATTATTATTAATAATATAATGCTTGAGCTCCCATTCAACAGTTTTCTGGAATGCAAGCTCTGGGTATTTGCTACGTAATTATATGCTTTCTTTCCATTCGAAAAAGTTGCAATGCCTCTTCTAAGCCTTAAGAACTTTCGACAAGGGCTTTAAGTTAAAATAGGCTGGTACTTGGGGCATTTTCATCCCTGAACCTTTCACCTTTGACCCTACACTGCACTGAGCCTCATCTGTGAGGGGTGTTCTGAAATGGGATTCGACCCTCAGGCAGAAAGATATTCAGTGTCCCAGTACAGGACATCACTGCAGCTACCCAAGAGTGAAACTGGATATGGCATTAATTGCACGAATGCAGTTGATGTCCATGGGAGCTGCAGTGGGTGAAGAGGAGGATGTTCGCTCTGTCCATCCTGCAATATCCTTGCCAAAACGTGCCTCCTGAGAGCTGCAGCTGGTACAGGAGAAAGCCGTGGTCCGCTTGGCCCTCCAGCAAGGCTTCCCAGCAAGGCTGTGGCACAAACGGGCCACTTATCCAGACTCCCTCCGTTTCTAGCTCTTCTCCTTTCCATTTGGCTGGAAAAGGTGTTTGTGGGGGGCAGGGGGAGCGACTCTCGGCACCGACGTTCTGGGCCCTTCTTGTTGCGCTGCAGTGACTTTGCCTGGCGGCTTCTCTCCCTTGCTTTCTCCTACAGGCTGGACCAAGGGGTGAGCCCGGTCCGAAGGGAGCCCAAGGCCCCAACGGAACAGTGGGGGTGCCAGGAATCCCGGGCAACCCAGGCAAATTGGGCTTGCAAGGAGAACAAGGAGTCCCCGGCATCCCTGGGAAAACTGGCCTTCCGGTAAGTAGCCTGCACCTTTCCTTTGCAATCACCCCTTTGCTCCAGGATGGCCAAATATCCCTACTCCAGGCACTCCCTGTAACTCCCAGTTAAAGACACCTACAGAGCGGACCTAACTTTCTGCGAGAGCCGCTATAACGGGGCAAGTAAGCCCATTTTTATGTATTTATAAAGCAGAGATGGGGGGTTCCCTTCTCAATGGACCTCTCTGTAGCCCCAATTGTACTGTTGCAGGACTCAGTAGACACAAGGACAAACTCTTGTCCTGCCAACTTGATCAAAATTCTTTTTGCCCTTTGTAACGCCTGGCTGGTGATCACTTCAGGATGAGACCCTAATTGTTACGCATGTGTCGTGTCATGATACCTGTGTTAATTTCAGGGGAACGAAGCGAGCGAGCAACACATACGAGAACTCTGCGGAGGGATGATCAGTGGTGAGTTAGGCAAGGGTTTTGCAGCGGCCAAAATATTTGCTTTATGTCTCTTTGATAAGGGATCATCTAATTTGGCTAAGTCCCGGTAGTTCGGTATGGCTAAAGCTTCTTTTAAAGATATCCAGTATGGCAACATCCAGCAGTTGTTTTCTTCTTGGGGGAATTTATTACACTGATAAATGTTATCCTGGAACAGTCTCTAATATTCTCTGACGTACAGTACATGTTCTTTTAAATTATGGACCTTTTCCATGGAAATTAACAAATGGTCCGTGTAAGAGGATTCTTCACACCCTTTTGACCACTAAAAGATGTTTATTACAACATCAGAAGGATCACTTGCTGTAATGCCATGGACTGGGGACTTTATGTGTCTTTCGATATATGAACAGGGAGCATAAAGACATCGCCTTCAAAAGGATCTTTATTTGGCTATTTGGTTTGCTTTTGCTGAAACTTATATGTACTTGCTTAAAAGTTCTGTGCACTTAACAGGTGGGGGAAACATGATTGTAATCATTGTTATGGTTACAGTTACAACTGCGGTAATGACTGCATTTATGATTACTGGGTCCCTGCAGGGAGCCCTCTGCAGGTGCCGTTGGAGGTACCAATGTATATGCACCCGGGATCCCTGGTCACAACCTCTGGAGGGGGAATCTGCATATCCTGTGGTCCCCAGGATGCTCTCCCAGGGGCCAGAGGGGTGCCTTGTAACTGCATGACTCATTTATTGTAAGTATTTATGTAACTCCCTTTAATCAAAGAGAGTGCTTATCAAATGCATATGGCACAGAGAGAGAGAGAGCAACAGAATCATGCAAAAGCAGCATAAAAGAGTCATCAGGATTAATTCAGCGCCAAGACGGCTCATGAAAATAAGAAGCTCTGTCTGGTGGCCAGGAGCAGGTGGCACTTGACTGGCCTTACTGTGTACATAGATTGACATAGGCTAAAGCCAGAGGCCTTGACTTTCATGTTCTTGTTTTATTCCAGAGCAAATCGCACAGTTAGCTGCTAACCTGCGGAAACCCCTGGCTCCTGGCCTCACAGGCCGGCCTGGTCCTGCTGGTCCCCCAGGCCCTCCTGGGGCCACAGGCAGCGTTGGGCATCCTGGCCCTCGTGGCCCACCTGGGTACAGAGGACCAACAGGGCACCTGGGAGATCCTGGTCCTAGAGGTGAGTCAGTTTTTAGGATGAAAGAGTCTGTCCCAATGAAGGATGGAACCATGCTGCGAACTTTCCCATGCCAATTGCTGGGAAGCTACCAGTTCATGAAAATAAGCATGTCTATTTCCAATGAGTAATTAGTAAATGGCCGTCACATATGGAAATTTGTTATATATTCACTTACAAAATATTCACTTACAAGAGAGGAAATCTTGATGTTAATGCTACAGCCCTGAAAGGCAACCTAGTAATATCTTAAGTAAATAAATAAATACCTTATTTCTATTTATAAACCATCTTTCTTCAAAGGCCTGGTAAAGCCATATTCAGTGTGATAACATTAGAATAAAACAGGTTATAAAATGCACTCAAATCCCATTGTAAAAAAAGCAAAAACCCAGCAACAGAAAACCTAAATCAGCAGCAATTTAATATCAAATCAAAAGCAACCAAGGATACATTATTTTTGAATGAATGAATACATATGAAAGCAGAATGAAGCAACATGGTTTTAGCCAATAATAAGAGTATCTGTAAAGTGCTGAGTAGACCAGTTCCAAAGTTTTCAGTGCCACAACAAAAAGAGCCCTGTTGTGCTTTCTCACCAATTGTACTCATTTAAACAGAGCTTTCTCTGCAGTGGCGCCCCAACTATGGAATGCGCTCCCTAGAGAGGTCCACCTGGCGCCGTCATTATATGCTTTTCAGCGGCAGGTCAAGACCTTTTTATTTAACCAATATTTTAAAGTTAATTAATTTTAATTGTATATACATTCAACCGTGTTATTTTATATTCAGTCGTGGTGTAGCCAATTTTATTTGTTTAGGATTGGACACTGTATTTGGGGTTTTAATGTTTGTAAACCGCCCAGAGAGCCCTCTGGGCTATTGGGGTGGTATATAAATGCAATAAACAAACAAAAATTCATTTAAAGAGCAGTCCTTTCTTCCCTGGGAGGCACCAGATACAGGATACAGTGGGCACCATGGACTGTCTGTCCTTAAATGTCTGTCCTTAAAACCCTTCGTAGGGCAGAAGGTTGTGGGACCTTTTCACAACAGCCTTCTGTGCCAGGATCTCTGTCATGCTTTCCAGCCATGTTTGCATTTTTGTTTTAGAGCAAGCAGAATGAACTATTCCTTTTCAAACCAGAACAAAAACCTCCAGTTGCATGAAAACTCTGCTCTCCTGCAGCTGTACAACATCATCTTGTGCTTGCTTAGCAGAATATATAGAAAAGCAGAGAAATAGAAACCCAGGGAAAAGTCCTGCATAGAAAATACGCTTTTCCTCCATCAATGAAAATGGAAGAAGAAAAGTGTCAGTAAAGTGGCAGGTAGGGAAGCCCCTCGTCAGTAGTGGAATTTCTCCTGCCATAGCACAGATGTGTCTTCTTCTGCCCCGTAAGTGGATGAATCATCAACTCAACAATGTACTTAATCCACAAAGCTGCTTCCTATTCCTAATCTGGAGAGTAACTTTTCCCTAGGCTCTTGCTGAGCTCATACTTTTCTTCTGGTACTGTAGGTGACCCAGGTGAGAGGGGAGACAAAGGTGCCATGGGCAGAGGTGTGGATGGACCTGAAGGAGACCAAGGACCGCAAGGTAAGCTGGCAGTCCGTGCAGTTGCGCTGCTCCACTTCCCTGAGAGGCACAAGGTTTCCTTTGAAGGGGAGAGTCCTGGAAATGGGTGTTGGCTTTGTTGCATTTGCTTTGTTTGCAGCTATGCAAGCAGAGCCTCACTGAAGGCAAACCGTGAGTGCACACCCTTATCAGACAGCAAACATGCACCCCAGAATAGGTTCTCCAGAGAGAAGTCCTCCTGCCCCAAGACGCCCCCATCTTTCGGGTAATGCTCTCTCCCTCACTGTACTCCCATCAGAATGAGGCCTAAAATTCCCCTTTCCCAAAGCTGCAATTTGCAATAGAATGGAATCCGCTGTTGACAGCTTCCTTCTGATAAAAATGGTGGCTTCTGTGGGTATGTATGTATTTATGTATATATTTCATTTTACTTCTATGCCACCCCATAACATGAAGTTTTTGTCTGTGTGTGAGAAAGAGAAATGAGGTTCACATGGCACAGTAAGTCATGGTTGGTTGTGAGCCTTCTTTGTGACCTTGTGACTCACTGTGATACCCACACCCAGTAAGACCATTGAGCATGGCTTCGTTGTCGGATAGTTGAGGGTGGGGGGTTGCGTTGGAAGTGTGCAAACGTGTTCATTACTGTCCTTCAATCTTTGCTTCTCAAGTGCTTCTCAAGTGAGCAGATAGGTTCATAAACTTTTCCCTTTTTCCCAGTCCTTTGCAAAGGTGTGCAAAATGCAGATGCACCTGTCCATTCTGTACTGTTTGCAGGAATCCAGTCACCTTGTCAACGTCTTTGTTAAAACCCAATGCACTTTCTTGCTTCCCTTGACAGTCAACTGCAAAATAGTCAATGGAAAATGCAGAGTGGAGTAGGTAATATTCTGACAAGGTGATTGTTCACTTAGTACAGATTTTAGATGGCAGACAGACAGATCTGTGCACTTGCGACTCTTTGTTCACTACAAATGTGGTGGGGGGGACACCCCATTTTTGCAATAAGTACACCCAGTGAATACATACTTTTTCCCCACAGTAATGACACCCACGCACAAATAGCTCTATGCCATGCAGCCACCCCTTTTGGAGTTGGGGGTCAGGCAATGTGTTGCAAGTGAGGAAGGAAACTGACAACTGTCAGTCTCAGGCCTAATATAGCAAAAGAATAAAAATGGATAAATGGGATCGCAACAGTTAATATCGATCTGCACTGCTGATGGAGGTGAATAATGGGAAGCGAACGTGTGCAATTACACAGTTGTGAAGGATACAGTGGGAAGGAACAGCCCATTTGTGTACTTTGAGGCACCGGAAAAAAATAAGGTGCAAACGACAAATGGCCGCGACAGGATAGTGATCTGAGCAGGCAGAAAAGGCAGTTTACAGCCCCCTTCCCGATTCTCCCTACTCTGCTATATTACTCCCAACGGTCATGCCTCAAGCACACCTCTTTTCTTGCTTGGAGCCCTCCATACCCACTTACCTGAGACTGAAGTCAATGGAACTTACTGTGGAGTGAAAATGAATTTGATTGTTTTGTCAACTAGTGTGTTGGTGTTGTGTTGTGTTTTTGGAAGAAGGGGAATGAAAGAAAAAGAGTTATGGAAAGATATTCCAAATTTTATTTTTTTCAAGGGAAAATGGAGCTAGGGGTTTGAAACATTGTGCTCTCGCTCTCTCTCTCTCTCTCTCTCTCTCTCTCTCTCTCTCTCTCTCTCTCTCACACACACACACACACACACACACACACACACACACACACACACACACACGACTGAGGAAGCAGAGAGGGGGAAGGATGGCAAAACCTTTTCAAATGGAGAAAGGAAAACGGATGAGGAGGGCTGAGCACACATGGCCCTTCCATTCCTTATCTCAGAAGCTCCCTAAAAACACAAGCGGCATCCTGTTGTGTGGAACTCTCCTGGAGCATTTCTGCAGATAGTTGTTGAAAGATGCCTAGTCGTATCTGTACAGCTGTGTAGGAGCACAGCTGACCATCTGGCCTGGCCAGCAATGGTGAGCAAATGAGACAAACCCTGAGACAAACCCATACTTCCTGCACACACATATCCACCCAATGGGAAACACAATCCAGGGAACTCTTTTTGCAAAGGAGGTAATTCACAGATTTTTCTTGCCCTGAGGGAAGAAATATGCAAAGCTAGTTCTGCAGGCTGGAGCAGCTCTCACCAGGATAGTCCTTACAGCTTGCCACTTGTCCACACCAAAACCTCTATGATGATTGTGATCATCGCCACACACGTTGTTTCCATGCCACCCCGCAGCTGAAGCTCTATGGGCAGTTTACAGCCGTTGCCTCCAGCACAGGGACCCCTTAAACAAAAAGCCATCATGGCATAGAGCCGTGAAAATTAGCAGCAGACACTGGAAGAGAGATTCCAAGTTGCAGAGTGGCATATGATGTGCAGGTGGGCCAGATGTTGCTTTAGTGGTGGGGATGGGGGTGTACCATAGTAAGTACTGGCGTTAACTCCAGAGGACCAGTGACAGTGGCAAGGACACACATTTGGAAAGAAAGTGTGGGGATGTTTTGTTTTATAACCAACCATTTCATCTAAAAAGAACTGCAGGATATCATGCTGAACTTTTATTGTTTTCCTCTCCCCCAAGGGCCGCCAGGTGCTCCTGGAGTTAGTAAAAATGGCCGGGATGGTTCTCAGGGTGAACCTGGATTGCCAGGAGATCCTGGAAGACCAGGTGCAGTTGGGGTTCAAGGAACTCCAGGAGTCTGTGATACATCCGCCTGCATGGGAGCTGCTGCTGCTGGAATGAAATCCAAAAAGTCATAAAACTGCATTCAAAAGAAGCTGAAAAAGGGAACTGAATATTTAAGCAAATTGTTTATACATGGCCACAGAAATGCCCTCTGATTCAAAGAAAAATGGAGGGTCAGTTCTCCTGTAAAAATGATTAAAATGGACTTTGACATTAATTCTGAGTTCAACAAAAGAGGACATCATCGGATGGAAACTTATACAAAGTAATATGTTCCCTACAAATGTTTTCCCATTTTCACAAGCATCTTGTTTCTTGTCCCATTAAAGTGGTACTCCTTTATTCCTGAACTATAAGGTGCTTTCCATTTACTATAACACATACACCCCAAACTGGGCTAATTTATACTAACTGATCCTGCATTAATTTATGTGAGTTCTGTTTTACTTCCGGGCTCTCATCCAAGTGTATATTAGTGCAACTGGCAGGCTGCACACAGGAATCTGATAACCTTGGACAGAGGACATGCCAGGGCTATGCACACCCAGCCCCATCCGCTGACTAAGGACAAGACCAGCGTGTATAGCACTTGCCTGGACACACAGTTTTTTATGTAGCTCAGGACCAGAGTGTGGATGGCCCCAGTTGGGTTTGGCTGAGTGAATGCAGACTTATTGAACTAAGCTAAAATCGCACACACCATGTTTCTCCCACAGTTTTGAACCAGCAGCAGCTCTTTGTATTGCAACAGGGGTGGTGCTTGCAATATATCTGAGTTTGTGTGTGCGTGCGTCTTATCCTAGCAGCACAAGGAACTCCTTTTGCAAAGGAGGTAAGTTGCATAGATACTTGTTGTTCACACAGTTTGCCACACAGCCTTATCTCTTAGGAATCAACCACAACTAGCAGCAAACATTTTCCAAATCAACTTTTCATGTGGACATCTATTTACAAGGGATAATTTTGAGCATTTCTTTATCATACAGAACATTTGGTAATCACATGTTATACCCTCTGTATACGATTTGTCAAAGAGCCATATGTTTCAGGAAATGATCACTAAGCAAAATTAGTGTGAGCATTATTGTAAAAATTCTTTTTATAACATTTTACTTGCCAATGTTTTACAATCGGGTTGATTTGTGGATTCTTTATTTTACCCCTGCTGACTGGAAATAAAGGTGCTACACGTGTGTGAATATCCGTGATTTAAACAGTATTTATTTTTGGATGAGTTCTGTATAAGAAATACTTATTAGCATCATCTCTTTTGATAGATAAATAAAGCCACTTTCAAATCAATAAATATGCTATTTCTCAAATACTTCTGTTTTCCTAACAAGTATAGCTAATACTATTCATTAAAAAAGAAAATATTATGTGCACTTAAAATCATGTACTGTTTACAAAATACCACTTTTGCACTGGAAGGATGCAACTGACTGAAGATTTTTCTTAGGGAAGTCCTATAGAAATGAATGAGACATGCATCTGAGTGTATAACTTCACTTCTTCCATTTGTTTCAATGGACCTTTGTGAAGGAGAAGACACCCTTGACTGTATCCTGCTCTAGAAATTGTTGGAAAGTCAAAATTCATTTAAAATAGTACTGTATTTGTAAACACACTGTCAACTGTTTTCTCTATATAGTTCAGTTTCCCAGGGATGAACATTTGGAAATGAAAAGTAAATCTGAGTTACTATATACAAGTTACTATCATTTATAAAATGGCTAAACTATTTACATTTCTTCTTCCAATAGCAAACTGGTTGTCGTGACATCCTAGAAATCTACATTAATACAAGCATGCTCAGGATTTTAAGGAACAAGCTGCTGTTCTATAACACATCTGAATTATTTTATATTTGGAAAACAAAACCAAAAGAATGGGGTGGGTGGTGAAGAGGAGCATTCTCTAGTTTGTGATACTGTTTTCTTCTTGCTTCTCATGCAATGCCTTTTGTGGGGCAGTACTGCTAAATAAATGCTGGAGGCTTCTTTTCCCTTTGTTTTGAACAGTGTGTCATTTCATCAACGTTTAGCCGTTTCTCCAACTATACTAAGTCATAAAAGAAGTCCAACAGGTGAATTTGGAAACAGAAATTCACAGTTTCCCTTCTGCATTCACACTTTCCATCAGCTGCAGAATACAGAAGTCAAATTATTTCATTTCCATAGACGTACCATTCTGTGCCATTTCCTGTGCTGTACACGCTCCTATTGAATCTGATCTTGTTAGTTTTAGTCTTCTGCCTGTTTTGCCACAGAACACAGTTTCAAATTCCTAAAATCCAAACGCAGAAGAATAGTTACAGTTAGTTACAGTATTGACCGATGAAGGAGAGTAAACTAGGGCCAATTATAAGCCACCTAAAAGCATGTGGATTATCTCAGCCAAGTGTGGAGAGCTCCAGTGCATGAGGGCTGCCTTACTTGTTTCAAGGTTGGGCAATTTTCATGAATGGAGAGTCCCTCTATTAAAATGAATGGGGTAGCTGTTGTACGTATGGAGCTTCCTGACCTGGGGTGATAGTACAGAAGCGCAAATCCTGCTTGTGGTGGAACTTACGCTCACACTTAAGTTGCTTGATTGCTTCAGTTCTGAAGCATCATTTGCAGATTTGATGGATTAGATTAATTTTACCTGAAGATGGCAACATCAAATCCTTAGGACAGAGTGGTGGATCCATTACAGATTTAGCAATCTGGCAATTGTACCTTTGAATCTTGCTCAATGCTAGGAGCCTAACTGATCTGGTGTACCTAAAATCATGTTTTTACCTGCCTCACCAACAACCAGCATCTTCCATAACTGCTGAGTACCAACATTAGTCCATTCATGTATGAAAATATCTGTTCCATGCAAATACAGTTTACACTGTGAACAGAAGCTCTAAAGGTTGCAGAGGCTGCAACACCCCAAATATCTTAATCACAGTTATGAGGCTGAGAGGGGCCTGCAAGGATGTCTACTTCCTCTCACTGCCCCCTCCCATCTCTCATGGGATTGCCTCCATGGCCTTGGCCTTAACTAGTTTCACATTATGTCAATAACATTAATATCATTCACAGAAAACATTCCCTCTTAACTATGGAAAGATCCTCAAATCCTGATTTAAATCTTGGTTAAAAGGTTGGCAAGAAAAATTGAAGCAGAGAAGGGAAGAAACATATGCCCTCATATGACTCTCAATGTACATGCCTTCACTTTTAAATCAGCTGCTTGTTTTTAACTGTTGTGAGCTTTATTAGTCTGGGGTTTTTTAGGTTGTGTTAGTCTTGTTTTTAATTTGTAACTTGATTTGTTTTTGTATTGATTCTGTGTAAGTGGCCTTGTGTACTTTTGTAGAAAGCTGTGAGATAAATTCAATCCTGATGATGACCATGACCATGATAACATCTAAGCACTGATTGTTCCCTTTGAACCTATCAAAGGTTTTGTTAAGCAGCGTGTGCTGTAGAAATTAAAACACCTATATTTCTTGGTTAGACAAATCTTTTCTGTTCTGCTAAAGCACCACAAAATCCCAGCAGCACAAGGCTTGCCAATGGTCTTAGCTATAGAGTTAACATATGGGCTATGGAATGACTTGGAGAAGCTAAAGCATTGATGGCTGTTGGTGAGCTTAGCTCAGATCCTTGTCTTGTATGACTGATACTGCAAACTGTCATGGCAGCTATACCACTGAAGATGTAAGGGACAGAACAAGAACAGCAAAGTTTCTTCCTGTAAATGGTCAGTGCTATCATGATTCAACGAAGTCTTAATGTTATAGTGTGTGTTCACACAGAAGTTACTGACCTTCTTCAGGGAATCCCCATGCCGTTCCTGAATATATTTTAGAAATGCTGTGGTCCATTGTAAAGTTGTTGCCTTATCAGTATCTGAAGTGCAGAATGGAACAAGAAGATTTAGCTCATCACAGCAAATCCTGATTCTGCGCCTAGAAGGGAATACAACATGCTCAGTTCTAGAACCTGAAACAGCTTGTCTTTTTAAGTGGTAGTGGTGTCAAAATCATTAACTGATTCAAATTTTGAGAAATTACCAGTAATGCATGTTTTAATAAGGATTGCTGGATTTACGAAATGCGAATTATTTTTTCTTGTAATTGTTATAATGCAGGTTACCAGCTCTGTCCATCCCTTCAAATCCCTCCTCAAAGGCATCTTTCCCATGAAACCTTAAACTTGGCCCTCAACCTTCACAGCTGTTGGCCCAGAACAAAAGGTTTGCATCTTCTCTCTTATTTCCTGTAATCTCCCTTTTTGCTTACATTACTTTGCAAACTGAATATACAAGCAGCACTATACAAGACATTACTGCAAAAACCATCAGAAAGAAGGAACCAATTTTAGAAAACTGTGATGGAGGAAACATAACAAATCATTTGTGAGATTAGACAGCATATAGAGCATATGACAACTAGTCCTAAAATGTATGGATGCAGAAATGAATCTCTTGGAGGTGACCGTGGCCTGTTAAAGGTGCTATGAATACCCTGGTGCTGGTGGAATAGTTCACTTTCTTGCCAATAATAATAATAATAATAGCAGCAGCTCAGCACATCCCAGAGAATTAATCTCTCCTTCCTTGGGAGCAATCCTCTTCAGTGAGACAACCTTCTGTTGATTTTGCAAGTACAAGGAAACCAGCTTTTACAAATGGACACACACCTGACACATGTTGAACTATTAACAATAATAAAGAGAATTCCTTTCACCAGCACTGGCGATAAATTTCCTATTTTCATCTTGGCCAGCTTCTGTTGTTCTTTTCCCCTCTATCTCTTGCTTGTTTTAGAATATACATCACTACTGTACATTTTAAGCAAAATGGTAACAGGCAGAAAGCCAGATTTATTTACAGACTGTTTTATAGATTAGCTTTTGACATACATACATCCTTTTACAAGTGGTTCAATACAAACATAATCCCAACACAATAACAATTGTGAACAGTAAGACAACTATAAAAATGAAATAAAAATGCCAGCAGCAGAATTAAGATGCTGTTAAGCCTGGGGCACGTCCCAGGAACGGTTCATCCTACAGTCTCCCTGCCAAGCACACAGAATTTGTGGAGTGGGGTGGGATTTGGCCAGACATCCTTGTCTTCCACTACTAACCCCCCTGTGTTTCCCACAACTTCTTCCATTTTCCCCTTACCCCAGGGGGGAAGGACTGCAAAGAAAGAAAAGATTGCAGGGAAAGAGAAGTTACGGTGGTAAATGCCAGAAAGAAAGGTCAGTTGTTTGTTCAAAAGATTTACACACATTGTGGCATGGCAGCCAGCAGCAAATGAATGTTCACGCCTATTTTTTCACAAAGACCTGTGAACCTGAGCACCAGATACAAGAGGCTTTCTTTTCCAAGTCCACAGGTCACCCCTAGCAAATACCTTCTGTCTCTTTCCATCCGGTTATGTCTCTCCCGGCGCTGAGATACACCACCTTGCACTCCATTTTGGGTGCTCTGGCTTGGCTGTGCTGCTTGCCAAGAACCCTGTGCTGAACCTGCACTTTGGTTATCACACACATTTTGGATATCACCGAGTGGTTTGCGCTGTACATTGGCGTCCAAGGGATGTATTCGACTACGGCTTCTTTTGTTCATTGTTTGCTTGCACAGGGCCTCTCCTTCTCAACAAAAACAGCAACACACAGAGAGAGCAAAAGGCAGCATTATGTCATTTCTGTTTGCACATAAAAATGGCAGCTTACAACAAAAGTTTACCCTAGTTCTTCTCGCTAGATTATTTCTTCTAAGGCTGTCTATTATTGTAAGAATTTTCAGTTGATGAATTACCTGCAGTTCATCTGATTGCTTGATTAAATGTAAATAACAGTTGAATGAACTGGCATCATAACAAGACCTCAACATATGTATTACCCTGAAATCCTAAAGGAATTATGCAAAGGGTACAATTCTATGCAAGTTTAGACTGAAGGCCCATAATTCCCAGCATGCTCCAGTCAGCACAGTTTCCTCTGACAGTGGGACCCTTTCTATGTATGCTATCTTAGTTATCTTATGTACTGGATTCAGATTTATGCCAGATTGGCTGCACCTATGGAAGTGGATTTCCCCACCACTTCCTTTCCATGGCAGCCTCTGCACCATTTACCTCCCAATTTAATCCAAATGTGCTCAGGCATAGACTTATTTTTAGAACCAAGCGTCTGTTTTGCTGCTTCAGTCTCCTGTTGGTAACAGATAGAAAAACTTCGAGGCAATCCAAGTTCTTGATGTTTGGTGGCTTCCAAAGCAGAGGCTCCTGAGCTCTGAGAAAGAAAGAGA